GGTTTATAAACCAACTTATAACTGGGGGGCACCATCCTGTAATAATACAGAAATAATGTACTCTCACCTACCAGCCCAGATGACAAATGGCCCCCCAGCTCCCACCATGTCAGGCCGCCCAGTGAAGATGCGGCGTAGCATGGCGTAGCGGCGCCTTTCTGCCGTTTCAATAGGCAGAATGATGATGTTCCCATAGTGGATGGAATATACGGTATCCTATTTTAAGATATTAAAAAAGACCAAGCACTTTGAAGAGGGGTTTTTTATTCACTGGATTGGTTTACGGAAAACCGTGGGGATTCCTGTAAAGTGTCTGTTCCAATTCGGGGATCAACATTTCCCCGGGGGTCAGGACTCAGCCGTCGTGTTTTTTTGTCCCAAGTTTCGCGTTTCACACCGACTGCGATGGTGGGAGGAGCTATTGAGAGCTTAGGAGGGTCGATTTAAATATCATTAAATATCTATTGTTGAAACCAGACAATTTGGATACTGGGGTGATACTGTTACTAAAAGATGCGGGTAAAAAAACCTGTCTAAATACGTGGCAACGACATGTTCTTTTATCATCCCGTTTCGTTGGAACGGCAACGGCTCGAACTGGTGGATCTCCAGGATTTGTGAACCCTTCGGTCACCTTTTGGGAAAATTGTTGTGAACCAACTTTCACTGGTTGGTGGTTTCAAACATTTTATATTTTCCATAATATATGGGATAATCCTTCCCATTGACTAATATTTTTCAACATGGTTAAAACCACCAACCAGTTCAGGAAGCCTAAAACCTGGGAAATACTGAAATAGAGTCTCGTTATTTTCCAAAGGCAGACGATGGACCGGCTTTCTTCTTCCAGCGAAGGTCGAGAGTTTTCCTGTGCCCTTTCCAAAGTATGGTTGGAGGATTCATTCCGGTACCACTTGTGATGGTACGAAGAGGAGGTAAGCCAAGCATGCATGGTATTAACTGGCATTTTAAAGAGATATTATATAAAGATGTATGTCACATCTCTATATAACATCACTAAGATGTATGAAACATCTGTAAGCCTTTATACCATCTTTAAAATGCCAGTTAATAACTGACATTCAGATGTTTCATCACATGTCGGCATGTACTCACCAAAAATATCGAGTACAATGAGTTTTAGTCGCTTCCGACTTTCCGACTTGGGACTGTAATTTACTTCATCCCCAGGGTACATCGCTTCTTTTTTTGATCCTGATTGCAGAAAAAAATAGCCACTTATGGCGAAATGGGGAGATACCGGAGATAGCCCATTTTCAGAGACATCGAATCACTATCATATTGTCATGTATCATTATGTATAGATATGTATAGTATCCGTTGTATCAGCTATACATCCCCATTGTAACCCCATTCAATCACTATGTTTATTAGTTACAGTACCCTCTGGTAATTTAACATCATGCACTGGAAAATCACCATTTAGTTCGTGAATTTTCCATGAAAATAGCATGGTGATTTTCCAGTTCGTTATATAACAAATTACCAGGCGGTAAGTAAAAATCATCATTCATCACCATTAATCACCATCATTAAGCATTATTAATCACCATTAATCACCATTAATCACCATTAATCACCATCATTAACCATCATTAATCACCATTAATCACCATTAATCACCATCAATCACCATCATTGACCATCATTAATCACCATCATTAACCATCATTAATCACCATTAATCACCATTAATCACCATCAATCACCATCATTGACCATCATTAATCACCATTATTGACCATCATTAATCACCATTAATCATCATTAACCATCATTAACCGTTATTAATCACCATTAACCATCATTAATCACCATTAATCACCATTAATCACCATCAACCATCGTTAACCATTATTAATCACCATGAATCACCACTAATCACCATTAACCACCATTAATCACCATCATTAACCACCATTAATCACCACCAACCAGCCATTTTTCTTGGTTAAATCCCATTGAAATCGACGCCCTCGGGCCCCTTTCGGTCGCGCTCGGCTCCGCCGGTCACCACCGTGCCATGGCGAACTCGTTGCGTCGGGATGGTGAAATCGGCCGTCCTGAAACACGGGGCCCGGCATGGCGCCGTGGTTGGCACCAATTCGCCGCGAAAAGGTCCGCAGATCACTGGGTTTCCCATGGAAACTCCGCAGCTGATCACTGGGAAGTTTGAGATTTGGCTCAAATTTCTGTGGATTCCAGGGGGATATTTGATGATTACTGATGATTTTTGATGTTGTGGTTGAAACTACTATCTTCACTCCCGAGCTGGATAGTAATTTTCAACTCGTAACCCCCATTAGATCTGAGTCTGAGTTAGATGAACTGAATACCTGGGTCCCGCCAGTGACTACCTGCAGTCTTTGGCTTGACAGCTTTGATTGTGCTGTCCCGGCAGCCTCGCCAGGTTCGGTTTCCCAGCTGAGCAGTAGACGTCCCCTACTTGATCAGTGATTTCTTCAGGGATTTGACCATGAAAACTTGGGACTTTCATGAGATTTAAGCGTCAATCATTGGGCTTTCAACTATCAAGAAGACGGGAACTTGATAAACAATGGTTGGTTGATTATTTATTTTGGATGCTACAGTACTACATGACATGAATAGTGGGGATTATCACAATCCGTGAGCTACTATGGCTAGTAATCTCTCCGTGGAGACAGACCATGCTTGGGTTGCTTTCTGGCAGGGTTTTGATACTGCTCATTTGATAATGGGAAATGTCTGAGCCAAACTTATAAATTTGACGACCTCAGATGTAGTTTGGCAATTATTATTTAACTGGGTATGGGTCAAAATTAGGTACCCCAATAATTGGATGGTTAATACTAAACCAGACTAACATCTGTGGTTTTTCTAGGTCTTCCATTTTGACCCACATCCAACTATCTTGGTGAAAGGAAGGGATTAGGGAATGTATTCTGCAATTTTGGGGCTTAGGCTTCCAGGGGGATGCTTGGGGATGTTCCCCAAAGGGGCTGTGTCTTGTGCGCATTGTGGGTGATTCAACCGGGATTTTTTTGTGTTCAATAAACCTTACCCTCTGGTTATGACTAACAGTTTGCCATGGAAAGATCCACCATTTTTAAGAAAGGTAAACCATCTATAAACATGGTGATTTTCCATGGCTATGTTAAATAACCAGAGGGTATATTATTTTGATATTATTATATACTATATACTTATATAGAATTATAATAATGATAGATAATCAAGTATAATAATAATAGAGAGATATGTATGTATCCATATTATATATATATAATGCCAACCCTGGATTAATAACCCCCGTTTACGGCTGTTCAATTGGGAGGCTACCATAAAAAAAGTATCAGATGAAATGACTCTTGGAGGAGTAGCCCCCTAATTAATAAACCATGGTTTATTAATCCGGGGTTGACATTATCATTGGTTGAATCCCTGTGATTTTGCTTTGCATGCACTTTTGCCACCGTACGTTCAGATCTTTATCCATTGTCGTTGAACAACAAACCTTTTTTGTTGCTGTGAATTATTCGGTTGTATATATTTCATTATATATTTATACACTGGTTGGTGCTTTGGAACATGTTTTATTTTTCCATATATTGGGAATGTCATCATCCCAACTGACTTTCATATTTTTCAGAAGGGTCGGTATACCACCAACCAGTATACGTATTTTCATATCTGTTTTCGGTGACCGGTACGTCAAAACCCCCATCATAACCCCAGGCTTGAGGTTGTTTGATTTCCATTCACTCTGTTTTCGGTGGTATAGTTCCATTATACAATTATATGAATATATAACTATATATATATATAGCTGTATCTCAGTGTCATCAGCATGGCTAGGCCAGAGGCCGGGTGGCTGTGCGGAGTCCGGAGCCCCTGCTGAAAGGAATGCATACATAACATCCATCCATCCATCCATCCATCCATCCATCCATCCATCCATCCATCCATGCATGCATGCATGCATGCATGCATGCAGACATGCAGACATGCAGACATGCATGCATGCAGACATGCAGACTTGCATGCATACAGACAGCCAGCCAGACACACACACAGAGATACATAGCCGAGAATAGCATTAAAACATTGGACGTGTCTGAACAGGGGTTTATTGTAATGGTGAACACGATGAATGAATAATGTTTTCTGAAAGGGTCAGCAGAAGTCTTAAGTCTTAAGCCAAACAAAGTGGAATCCCAAAGGACCCCCCTCAATGGATATAGCCAGACTAGCAAAGGCGTGGGTTCACATTGCCCGTGTTCGGAGTACCAGTAGGGTAGCAGAATCACACGTGATCACTTGGTCAAACTCCCATTCTTGATCAGATTTTTGCCATTTGAACCCATTTAAGCTTCATTTTCAATCGTTTCCATTTGCTCAACAGTATAATCGTCTCCGGTTTGTTTTAGTCAATTTTCGTCACCCATGGTTATGGGTGTGTTTGAAAATGGGCTAGTTATCCCTAGTTGTCCCCCAAAATTGGCGAGTACAATGGGGAAGATCATAAGCCCCATCTTCACCGTTGGAAACCTACATGATTTTTTCTTCACAGTTTTTTTTTTGTACCCCAAAAAACAAGGGAATATCATTATTGTTGGATATGTCATATTCTCCCATGATTGCTGGGTATTTTCCCCTATTGCTCTTGGTTACCCTCAAGTAAACCAACAGTTGGAACCATGGACCATTAAATTCAATGATTGATCACAATGGTGATTTTCTACAGTTTTTTGTATGTTTATCAGAGGTTATATAGAGTTTTTTTTTTTAACCACATGTTTTCTATAGCTTTTTGTTTATTATCACAATGGTCATTTTCTATAGCTATAATTTCATGTATAAAAAAATAAATAAATATATATATATATATATGCACATATTTATTATATTTTATATCCCTGCTTCCGTGGACCTTTTTAAAGCCTCAGCTCTCACCGGGACGACGTGTTAGAAGCGCCCGAAGCGTCAGCTCGAGAGCCATGGTGATGCGCGTGGCATCGGCGTTGGCCGTGCTGTTGCAGCCAAACCTAGCAGCACCATGCCCAGGCGAAGAGCCTGCCAGGTGGAACAGGTATAGAATAACATAGCTGGTTGGTGGTTTGGAACATGGCTTTTATTTTCCATTTCATATATGGGATGTCATCCTTCCCATTGACGAACTCATATTTTTCAAGATGGTTATTGCACCACCAACCAGATAGACACATATCCTGATCATATTTCACAATATGTTGTATTTTGTATTTGGTGCCCCCCATGTGAACACCCTGGTGTCTGTTGGTTTATAACCCCCCTTAACTATCCTTAACTATAGATATATCGACCAGAAATCCCAGTTATTTCATAAAGATTTGACCATGAAAAACATGGTTTAATGGCATTTAAATGGGAGTTTGTCTAGTCGTCAAACATGGTGATTTAAGCTACAACAAAGGTAGTATTATGTGGATATATTGTTTTTCCTTGTTATAAGTGGAAAAACATGTATTTCCAGAGTAGACAAAGCTGGTAGATAGTCTGTCTAAGCATGAAAATAAACCAGGAGATCGCAGGCTCTGAAGCACGTGAGCTGTGCATGTCCACGGCAGGGCTCAAATATACGACGCCTCCAGAGAATTTCGCCAAGGCTGGTGTTGCAGCATGTTGCAGCCGTGAATGGTGGAGGGATTCAATGGGAATTTCAGGATCCTAAAATGGAGGTACTGTGCCGTATAAGGCCATATTTTGTGGGGATATTCCCCTACATAGCCCTTACATAGGCCTTATATATGGTAGGTACCTCCAATTTAGGTTCCGAAAATGGCCATTGAGGGATAGCAGTTTAATTTGTATGGGGGGTTCCTGGAATAGGGCTACCCCCAGTCATCATCCTTTTTAATGGAGGGTTTTCCATGAAATAAACCCTCCAGCTATTGGGGTACCCCCATTTCAGGAAGCCTTCGTATAGTTTCAAGGTGCCACGCGGGATGAGTTTTCAGGGGGTAGACGCCAATCGCTTGTTGATCGAGTCGGTACTTCAGGGCTGCCATGATGATAATGTTTGTAATTAGTTGATTCAACAGTGCAATCCCATTTTTTAAGGTTGATTCGCTCGTCATAGATTGAAATCATGTGAAATCATGTGAAATCATAGATGAAATCATGTGAAATCTTGTGAAATCATAGATGAAATCATGTGAAATCATATGTGAAATCATAGATGAAATCATAGATGAAATCATATGTGAAATCATAGATGAAATCATGTGAAATCATATGTGAAATCATAGATGAAATCATGTGAAATCATATGTGAAATCATAGATGAAATCATGTGAAATCTTGTGAAATCATAGATGAAATCATGTGAAATCTTGTGAAATCATAGATGAAATCATGTGAAATCATAGATGAAATCATGTGAAATCTTGTGAAATCATAGATGAAATCATGTGAAATCTTGTGAAATCATAGATGAAATCATGTGAAATCATATGTGAAATCATAGATGAAATCATGTGAAATCATATGTGAAATCATAGATGAAATCATGTGAAATCATATGTGAAATCATATGTGAAATCATAGATGAAATCATGTGAAATCTTGTGAAATCATAGATGAAATCATGTGAAATCATATGATGAAATCATGTGAAATCATATGTGAAATCATAGATGAAATCATGTGAAATCATATGTGAAATCATAGATGAAATCATGTGAAATCTTGTGAAATCATAGATGAAATCATGTGAAATCTTGTGAAATCATAGATGAAATCATGTGAAATCATGTGAAATCATATGTGAAACCATAGATGAAATCATGTGAAATCATATGTGAAATCATAGATGAAATCAAACATCTGTGAAATCTATGTCATCATGAAATCATAGTGATGAGAAATCATGTGAAATCTTGTGAAATCATCAATCAAAATCATGTGAAATCATGTTGAATCATGTGGGAAATCATATGTTAACTCAAGATTAACTGTGAATCATAGAGGAAAATCATGTGAAATCTTGTGAAATCATAGATGAAAATCATGTGAAATGCTTGTGATTATTATCCCATAGGTGAACCCCATCATGTGAAATCTGTGACAATCATAGATGATAATCCTGTGAAAAGCTTGTTGAAATTCATAGATGAAATCATGTGAATCTTCTTGTGACAAATCATAGATGAAATTATGTGAATCATATGTGTAAATCATAGAGGAAATCATGTGAAATTGTGAAAGCATAGATGAAATCATGTGTGAAATCAGATGTGAAATGCATAGATGAAAATCATGTGCCAGCATATGTCGAACATCATTAGATGAACATCATGTCGACATCATAGGTGAATCATAGATGAAATCATGTGAAATTATGTGACATCATAGATGAAATCATAGAGAAATCTTGTGAAAATCATAGATGAAATCATGTGAAATCTTGTGAAATCATAGATGAAATCATGTGAAATCTTGTGAAATCATAGATGAAATCATGTGAAATCTTGTGAAATCATAGATGAAATCATGTGAAATCTTGTGAAATCATAGATGAAATCATGTGAAATCTGTGAAATGAAACATAGATGAAATCATGTGAAATCATATGTGAAATCATAGATGAAATCATGTGAAATCTAGATGAAATCATGTGAAATCATATGTGAAATCATAGATGAAATCATGTGAAATCATATGTGAAATCATAGATGAAATCATGTGAAATCATTGAAATCATAGAAAATCATGTGAAATCTTGAAATCATAGATGAAATCATGTGAAATCTTGTGAAATCATAGATGAAATCATGTGAAATCATATGTGAAATCATAGATGAAATCATGTGAAATCTTGTGAAATCATAGATGAAATCATGTGAAATCTTGTGAAATCATAGATGAAATCATGTGAAATCTTGTGAAATCATAGATGAAATCATGTGAAATCTTCTGAAATCATAGATGAAATCATGTGAAATCTTGTGAAATCATAGATGAAATCATGTGAAATCATATGTGAAATCATAGATGAAATCATGTGAAATCTTGTGAAATCATAGATGAAATCATGTGAAATCATGTTTTTTTTGAACCTTTTTGGTTAATTTGTTCAGTGAATTTTCCCATGTGAACGTTCTGATTTTGCAGGTGCCGGAGATTCCCAGCTACGACTTGGCATTGAAGGAGTTGAAGCTCAAGGCGCAGGGCGGCCAGTGGTTTTACCCCAAATCCATGGAGGATCAGCAAAATGATGCAAAAAACGTTAGAAATGGTAGAAATCATACCCTCTGGTAAACTAACATAGCTATGGAAAATCACCATTTTCAGTGGGTAAATCCACTATAAATGGCCATTTTCAATAGCTATGTTAAATTACCAGAGGGTACCAATCTCCAGACATGCTGCAATGATCTCCGCAGGTCTGGAGATCCAAAGAAAACGAAGATTTGCGGCAATTTGCTAGCATCAGTTGTGGGAAGCGCGATGGCTTTCCAACAACCACATCTGCTCGCACAAGTAAACTGGACCTATCCAATTATCAGTGTTCCTTTTTAGTGACGCCTTTCGTTTAAATTTAGTGCCCCAAAAAGTAGCATCTCTAATATGGGCCAATGTTCACGTCTTCTTAACGTCTTCGTGGCCAACTTGTTTGATGCAGGGAATTGAAGTTTCTCGTGGATCATCCATTGGTCGATGACTGCAAAAACCCATCGCAGGTAGGTAATCATGGAGTGTTTCGCCAAGGGTAGACTTACGACGACTTACTATCGAAAAATTCAACAGGCTTTGTCTAGCGCCAAAAAATCGATGGTTTATTCATGGTTTATGAGTTTATTTCTGATTTTGGCACCATTTTTCCCAGTGAATCTGCAACAACTTTCTATGATTTTCTGGTGAATCCCCGATTTTCAAGGTCGAAACCTGCTGTGCATTTTCTGTCGACAGGATGTGATCGCGGACTTGCAGAGCCTCTTCACCCAGTCGCAGGTGTTTCAGTATGGAAAATGCCGATGAAGTCAATGGTATAACATACTATAGTGTTGGTTCATGGAATTTAACTATAACATACTATAGGAAGTCAATGGTATAACCATCTTGAATGGAATTTAACTATAACATACTATAACCAACATGGTGGTTCAATGGGATTTAACGGGATTTTTTGTGGGAATTTAACTCACCAATAATTGAAGTCATGGTGATTTAATGGGAATAAAATGGCTACCCGGTCGATAGCTATCTTCTGGCCTGGATGAATTGTAATGACCGTCGGTTTCCGCCACTGGAATGATGGGAATTGGATTCGAGGAATCATGCCCATGGCTGGCCGCAAGATTCAGCTATTCTCAGGTTAGTGAATTATTGTAATTCAGCCAGATTGATTAGCAGGGATCTGAGGAGCACATTCCCCGTTTTTCATGGGGAGCCAAGGATCAGTTTCCCAAGCACAAGTTCAGGTGATTTTTTCGGCAAATTTTTGCGCGTAGTGTAGTAAATCTAAGTGTTGACCCCTGCTGGTAACTTAACACTCGGAAGAGCATGGTATTTCCACAGCCAACGATGAGATTTTGATGTGTATATATATATATATTTAATTATATATATAATTATATATATAATTATATATATATACAATCAGAATGGTTCACTACACCCAGGCTACCCTCTAGTACTCTAACAGTTTGATATGATATAGCCCATTTCGTTCGTTGATTCACCGCTCTTTAAAAAGGGTGCTATTTGCCAGTTCGCTGTTGGTTAACATCCCCAGTTACCCCAGTTATCAGTCTATAGCCAAGCTGCTATTACTCATCAGACTAATCAGTTTCTACTCAGCTACTGACAGCCTTGCGTAATGTTTTGGCCCATTTACTTCGTTGATTCACCGTTTTTTTATTAGGATGTGATTTTCATCGATTTTCCCATGGATTTTCCATGTCATACCCAGCGACCCAGGCCTCCCGGGAAATCGCGTCGGCCTGCAGGAGTGTTGGCCTGCAGATCTGGGGCACTACGGCCCGCTCTTCGTGCGTTTAGCCTGGCATTGCTCCGGTTCATGGCGTGTCACCGATGGGTGCCGCGGCGCGAACCATTTGACCATGTGATGTGTGAATGGCCAATATATGGTGAAGATTCGGTGAAGATGTTGAGTATTGTTGAGTTCCCGAAGGGTAAAGTTCATGATCAATTGGGATCAATTGGTAACGATTGCTATTTGCGAAGTGCAATGTGACAATCTCATGTGCGGCTGAAATAGGAGTTAAAAAGGCTGATAGAAGCCAGATACGATGGTCGTTTGGCCTGTGGTTCCACCACGTATACCATGAATCAAGTTGCTGTGAAACAAGTCCTTGTGGGAATGCGTCAAACATAGCCAGCAACACAACTCCACCAGAGGTTTTTGACCTTTCAATGGCGGATCCATACGTGCCCTCTGCGTTTTTTGGTTTTTCAGGGTGAATGGATCAGGGGAATCAAATCACAGAACGCCTGGTGATTCCAGATGCTGAAGAATTCCCTTTTTCCTGCTTGGTGCAAAACGCATTGGGTTCATTTGATGAAAGATTTTCAAGCTCTATTCCCGAAAGAATTATCAACCCATCAACCAGTTGATTCCCAGTTGCTTGAACCATTGGTTGATACAGTTGATAGGTGATTAAAACTTGGCTGAACCATTCCACTTTGAGTTCCAATTGATTATCTCCTAATGTTGGTAAAGCAATAGGGTCCGCCATCGCCACATTTACCATTTGTGTGGTATAAATCGGTATAAACATGTATAAAGCATCAATCCATATGTGGGTGGTGTATGACAAGGCGCGGTGGCTGTGCTGGGGGTCGACAGCGATTCGAGCCAGCCTCTTGGCGGTGGTTCGAAAAATGTGTTTCTGCTGAGTTGATGGGATATAACATGGGGATATAATGGGATATCTAACCAACTATAGTATAGCTATATAACATATTATAACATTATAGAGTAACATATATACTGGTTGGTGGTTTGGAACATAAATGTTATTTTTCCATTCAGTTGGGAATTTCATCATCCCAACTGACTTACTCCATCATTTTTCAGAGGGGTAGGTGGCTCAACCACCAACCAGATGTCGTAGTTCGATGGCCCATTGAGTTCGAATAAAGATGTTCCTTAAAGCAGGCCGTTAAATCACCAGAGGGTAACAGGGTAACCATTAAACATCAAGTTCAAGTGATCAAATCCGACAGAATGAGATTGTTTAGTGGTTGAACTGCTCAAAGTTAGGAAATTGATTTCATTTCCTGCTAAACTGTTTACTGGATGAAATAACGTGTTGATCACTTTATCCCTGGGCTTAGACTGGATGGTTTGAACAATGAGAACTGCGGACAGAATTTGTCAAATCGCCTGCTGGTTAAGCCGCCATTGCGCTCCGCATTCTGACAGCAGCTTCAAGCACCGCACCTGCGAAACCATGGTGAAATGTATTGGATTCATTTTCCTTAACCATGTGCTATATTAAGGTATCTGTTAGAACCATATCATATAATATAATATAATATAAATATAATATAATACAAATATAATATAATATAATATAATATAATATATAATATAATATTGCCATATCTATTAATGTTAGATCCATATACTATCACGTTGGTATTTTTAAGATGATATTGGCTATATATCTATATATTATACCCACCCATTTCATCCCCATTTCACCACGTTGAAACTTCATGTTTGATGGTCAAACCTCAAACCCCTATTCTTGATATGGTTGTTGGTGCTATCCTATGATAGCCTCATTGCATCCCATGAAAACCTTTGTTTTGATGCTAAGATGCTTGAATATGGATTGGAATGGGATGGGATTACATTATATAATATTGCTATTCCACAAATAGTAAATTAGTAAATGAATGTAAATGATATATATATATATTATTTATTATATGATATTGGCTATATATCTATATATTATACCCACCCATTTCATCCCCATTTCACCACGTTGAAACTTCATGTTTGATGGTCAAACCTCAAACCCCTATTCTTGATATGGTTGTTGGTGCTATCCTATGATAGCCTCATTGCATCCCATGAAAACCTTTGTTTTGATGCTAAGATGCTTGAATATGGATTGGAATGGGATGGGATTACATTATATAATATTGCTATTCCACAAATAGTAAATTAGTAAATGAATGTAAATGATATATATATATATTATTTATTATATTTGGATGGTTAAGTTAATGGTTAAGTTAAATGAGAGCGAATCCGGAGCCGTATATCATCCCCATTCCCCCATGAAGCTCCCATGTTTGATGGCGGGACATGTGGATTTAAAGGTGAGCCCGTCCCCATGCTTGGTGTTTGAATATCCCATGGTTCCAGGTCTATCCCCGCTATGAGTCAAAACCCAGGTCTAACCCTGAGCCTAAAATACTAGCTGGTGAATGGTTTTTTCCCCAAAATCATAGGTTTTGACCCATCCCTCTCCAGTTTGTCAGCATGTCAAGGGCTTTCTTTTTGGGTCGCTTTTCCGTGAAAGATCCCATTCCCAGATCGCGAGGAGCGTTCCTGGGCCGACAATACCAACTTGGACAAGGCGCGTGCGCTGCTGTGGCCCATCAAGGAGAAGCCTCTTGGATGGATGGGGCCCTGGTTGTGTTGATTTAGGATTCTACTCATCAAAATGGTGGTACCACGGGGATATAATAGGCTGGTTGGTGGTTTGGAACATGAATTTTATTTTCAATTCAGTTGTGAATTTCATCATCCCAACTGACTTACTCCATCATTGAGGGGTAGGTGGCTCAACCACCAACCAGTAGGGATATTTCATGGGATATGAATGGAATATGGGTTAATATACCCTGCGGTCTCATCAAACATTGCTAGCTGCTGAATCTCCACACTCAATGGAGGTAACTCGTTCGGGAAAATCATCGAAGAAGCCATGGAGTCCTCCCGGATGCCAAGTTTGATGGAGTGTAACACCATTGGTTTATCCTAAAGTGTCAAAATTCTGCTTTTAGATAACATGGCTTTTAAATTCTGCTTTAACATAGCTTAATCGGCTTAATCAAGAAGGAATAGAGGTTGAATCAGCAAAACACGGGGACAGGACCATGGGGACTCCAAATACTACCAATGATTACCAATGAATGTCCGAAATTGCGATAGAAAATTCAGTGGCTGTGACATGCTGTGACTGTGTCACCATCATCACCATCCATTTTCCAAAGCCTTCCAAGCTTTCCAGATTTCTATATAAGCACCACACCCTTTCCTGTCCTGGGTTTCGCAGGCGACCATCCCATGTTCCACCCGGTAGCTCAAGATTCAGAGGTCACAGGAAAAGGCTGCGGAACTTAGATACTCTTGGATCAAGATAAGTTAAGGATGACCTAGATCTATCTAGATTCTAGATCTTACTTATCTTGATCCAAGTCAAGAATGATCAAGATAAGTTTCGAAATTTCAATCCAAAGATGGCTTATGATGGGTTTCTTCATAGGGAAACGATGGCTTTTGCCTAGGGCTGGGGCTACCTTTCCAAACATATCCCATTCTTTGATTAATATCTTTATAAAAACTCAGTTGCATCTTGATATATCTTTAAAAACTCTAACTCTAGCATCATTTTTATGGAGGTGTCCAAAAAATTAGGCATCTTTAGGCTCCTTTTCTGGGGGCCCCAAGGCCCCAAGGCCCATCTAAGTCCTTGGAACATTTCCCAAGGTTCGGCGATGGTCTCAGCTGGGGAGATCTATTTACCTTGGTCCCTTGGCGATGTCACCACGAAACAAAGGTTTTGGGGATTGAGATATTCATGGGGATTTAATGGATGTATGATAAATATATATATATATGATTATATATATGATTATATATATATATATGATTATATACATATATGATTATATATATATATGATTATATATATATATATGATTATATATATATGATTACATATATCATTATATATGATTATATATATATGATTATATACATATATGATTATGATTATATATATATATATATGATTATATATATATGATAATATATATATGATTATATATATGCATATGATTACATATATGATGATATATGATTATATATATATATGATTATATACATATATGATTATATATACATGATTATATATATATATATGATTATATATATGATTATATATATATATATGATTATATACATATATGATTATATATATATGTGATTATATATATATGATTATATGATTATATATATATGTTTATTTGATTATATATATATGATTATATATATATATGATTATATATATATGATTATATATATGATTGTATATATATGATTATATATGTATATGATTATTATATATATATATGATTATATATATATGATTATATATATATGATTATATATATATATGATTATATATATGAATATATATATATGATTATATATATGATTATATATATATGTAGAGTATGTGTATATATATATATAAATACACATTGTCAACACATATTTATACATAACCAACTAGAATCAACAGTTGGGTTGGATGAAGTCATTTGTGCCAAACTGTGGTGAGATCCAGTGGACGATGGCACAGCCATTCTTCACCGGGATGATTCTGGACGGGGCGTTTTTCGCGGCTTGGACATGTCCAGAGAATGAACCACTCACTGGGGATGACTATCAAATTGGCACGTTAAAGATAGTGCAATGCATTTTTCATACATTGTTCCAGTGGTAAAGTATTGAAGATACTCTCTGGCAATCAGTCTCTCATGGTTTGCTGGAAAATCCCATTTAGTAGGTGGTTAGTAAGTGGATTTATACGCGAGTTGTAAATGAAATAACCTACTAGGGGACTTAGCAACTAGGGTTATTAATCACTTACGATCTGTGATGAACATGTTTTGGAATGGAATAAGCTCACCAACTAGGAGCTATGGCAAATCAGCATGACATGGGACGAATGAGGATAAAGCAACAAAAAGGATTTGGGGTCATCATCACATTCAATTTTCAGACCGGCCCAACCAGACCACCAATCACTTATTCCTGTCAAAATAGAACCTATTGTTCCGTCATTTTCTGTTAACACGTGCCAATCGCCAAGCAACTTCTTCAAAAAAGACACCAGCCTCTTAAATTATCTCAAATTACAATTTGGGGTGTCTTCAAAGATCTACCATACCATACCGATAATTTACCAGCTATTATACCAATACTTGTTCTTAAAATCACTAGCCACTGATGACAATCGCCACCAGATCAAACGGCTAAGGCTGGAACCACTGCCATCAAGACCATGGGTGGTCCCATTACCCAGTACCTTGCCTCGCAAGACGGGGAGGAAGCATCTAATATACATCTATATGAATAAATAAGTTAATGATAATCAGATGCGTATATATCTATGTGTACACATGTGACCTTGTACGGACGAGTATATCAATATGAATAAGTAAACACAAATCGACACGTACAATATACACATACATATTCAAGTCGGGTACCTTCTATCAGACTTGATCAACATGTGCATGTCCAATGGGTCGCAAAGGGTTGACACACACTGCGAGATAACACCTGGCAGACACACTTGCCCTCGCAAGCGTAGGATCAATTTTGGCTCATGTGCCTCCCAAACAAAAGGCTCATCTAATCCATTCGAAACCCACTGGTGTTGGTAAATCAATGGTGTCTTCGTTAAATCCACATCTTTTGGTGGTTACATCAAACAGGGATTCACGTCACATACCCAGGATTCCCGTTGTGGGATGGGTGACGAAAAAAACCATAGATTGGTGGCTAAATCCACATCTTTTGTGGGTGAAAAACCCAGCATATTCTGGCAAAATCAGCAATTTTATGGGTTGGATTCAAAAAGAAATCTCATTATATCTCATTAACCATCATCAACAAACTAAATATCATCTATCACTCATTCATTCCTCTTTTTCCCAAATGATCTAACTGTTCCATTTCAGCTGCCCCGCAGTTCGTGGAGCTCCGTAGGTACTGCGCTGGCCGAATTGATTCGCCAGATGGCGACTGGGCCAATGGGTGGGTACAGCATGGTACAGCGGCCATTTCCATGGGGATATCATGGGGATTTTGATAGCAGTTGTAGCTACAGATGATGGGGATATTGATTCTCCTGCGGATATAAGGGGTATACAATGGTGATATGGTTTTTGTGGTTGCGAAATCCAGCACCAGTTGAAAACGGTAGTTTATCCCACGATTTCTAGGGTTTCAACCACCCAGGGGGGTGCAGGATTTCGCAACCATCCACAGTATGACGGGATATACAACCAAAGAAAACTTTAGACAACCATTCCGGGACATGATCATCATTTTCTTCATTGAAACTGCCATTGAATGGGTACTATATGGTACTATATACCCTCTGGTAATCAAACATGGCACTGGGACATCACGTATAAATGGAGGTTTTGATGGGAAAATCATCGAACAAAATGGTGGATAACCATAGTTACCGGTTACATCCCAGCCACAAAAATGACACCAACAGCCCCTGCAAGTACCAGGAGATGTAGAGTGCTCCGCATGGGGAACAAACAATGTATTACTCAACACCGATACCTATTGGGAATTGGATCGATAATCTTGTTGGTTGATATGCCTTATCTATCACTCAAAAATGTTTCAAGGATTTATCAAAAGCATTCTTGACAACAGATCCTGATTGAAATGGCCATTCCCAGTCTATTGTTGGTTGACAATTTGCCAATCATTCGAATACGCATTTGGGTTTGAAAGGTCATTTTCCATCATATTCCCATACCTTTCCACAATGTTCAATCAATTTGTCCATCATTTTCCATCAATTTGTCCATCATCTTTCCCACCCCATAGGATCCATGTATGCTATATGGTAACATTTACCATCAATATACCCCAGTCATGTTAGCATATATACCAGCACCATGGATCCTATGGGATAGTTTTTTGTATGTTTACCAGAGGGTAATCCACCATTAATCCCCATTAATCACCATTAACTATCGTTATTAACCACTATTAAACATCATATATGGTGATTAATGGGGATCAATGTAGTATAACCACTATTAATCACCATTACACTATTAACCACTATGGTTATTAACCACTATTAAACATCATATATGTTCCATCCTTTTCCATCAATTTTCTTCATCCTGAAATCCGCGAAGGGACCGACTCATTGGATTTGGGACCCAGCCCGGAGCAAGAGACGCTTGGCGATGCAATGCAGAGCAAGGGTCCGTATAGTGAGCTATGTGATATATCATGGATGGTTTACAATGGAAAAACACACAATCATCCCATAATCATCCCAGATTCATCCCATAATCATCGCATAATCATCGCATAATCATCGCATAATCATCCCATAATCATCCCATAATCATCCCATAATCATCCCATTATCATCCCATAATCATCCCATAATCATCCCATAATCATCGCATAATCATCCCATAATCATCGCATAATCATCCCATAATCATCCCATAATCATCCCATTATCATCCCATAATCATCCCATAATCATCCCAGATTCATCCCATAATCATCCCAGATTCATCCCATAATCATCCCATAATCATCCCAGATTCATCCCATAATCATCCCATAATCATCCCAGATTCATCCCATAATCATCCCATAATCATCCCAGATTCATCCCATCATCCCATAATCATCCCATAATCATCCCATAATCATCCCATAATCATCCCATAATCATCCCATAATCATCCCATAATCATCCCAGATTCATCCCACAATCATCCCATAATCATCCCAGATTCATCCCATAATCATCCCATAATCATCCCAGATTCATCCCATAATCATCCCATAATCATCCCAGATTCATCCCATAATCATCCCATAATCATCCCAGATTCATCCCATAATCATCCCATAATCATCCCAGATTCATCCCATCCCATAATCATCCCATAATCATCCCATAATCATCGCATAATCATCCCATAATCATCGCATAATCATCCCATAATCATCCCATAATCATCCCATTATCATCCCAGATTCATCCCATAATCATCCCATAATCATCCCAGATTCATCCCATAATCATCCCATAATCATCCCAGATTCATCCCATAATCATCCCATAATCATCCCAAAACCAGAGGGTATATCCCACAATCATCCCATATCCCATTCAGATTCCATTAAGTATATATAGATATATGGGAGTTTCCTGAGTCATGGGGGTACCTCTAAATGGATGGTTTATAAGTGAAAATCCCATCTATAAATGGGTGATGATTTGTGGGTACCAGATGATTATATATGATTATAATATATACACATATAGGGGTTTCCTAGAATGGGGGTACCCCTAAATCATCCATTTGAATAGGACTTTCCAATATAAACCATACATTTTGGGGTAATTTATGGAAACCCCCATATGATTATATATATGCAATTACAATGTATACACATATACACATACGTATAATAGCATGTATATGAATAGACATGCCCAGTTTGGGGAGCTGAAACAGCACATGTTTGTTGGTGAAATGAATGAATCCGTGTTTTTTCTTTTTCGGGATTTGTGAAACCAAGTGGGACAAGCAGGACAATCAGGACCAAATGCTGCACTTACTACTACTACTGCTACTGCTGCTGCTACTACTGCCACTACTGCCACTACTGCTAGTACTGCTAGTACTGCTAGTACTGCTAGTACTGCTCCTGCTGCTCCTGCTGCTCCTGCTGCTCCTGCTGCTCGTGCTGCTCCTGCTGCTCCTGCTGCTCCTGCGCCTCCTCCTACTACTACTACTACCACCACCAGCAATCATTGTGATATCTTATATTACTAATAAGAAGAACGGTCATTAGAACAAGAATGATAATGAGGATTCGTACCCTGCAACCCGCAGATTTCGGTCGTAAAGTGAGTGAATCGTCCAGGAGTTACTCATGCCTTTAGGATTTTAAACAAGTCCGCTTTTAGGATCAAAAATAAATCCCTATTACTTTAGGAATATGGAGAACATCAGGACTAATCTGGTTGGTGGTTTGGAACATTTTTTATTTTTGCATCTATTGGGAATAATATGGAATAATCATCCCAACTGACTTGCATATTTTTCGAAGGGGTAGGTCAACCACCAACCAGTCATTACTATTAACCATCATTAACAATTCATTAACCATATAATAACCTTGGTATTAAATGGTATTAACCATTATTAACAGTATATTAACCACATAACATTACCTGATATACCCTCTGGTAAATTATTTGTCACACTTTCAGGACTTTTCGATTTCCCAAAGTTCCAAAAAACCACCTGCCCCACCTTCCGGCCAATCCTCCACCGCCGACCACCGGGCTGCACCGGGCTCACGCAGGAAATATGCGCCCTGCCCCATCAACGGCACTTGCACTCGACCGCTTGGCAGCACCACGGCCGCTTGGGAAAAACAAGTCATGGAAATCTACTGAAGTAGTCAGGGGGATATATATGGACATAATGATATAATGATATATATATATATATATTCAACATTGATGAGGATGAGGATAAGATTGAGGATGAGGGGGATATATATATAACCAACCATATGAAATTTTGATGAGGGTAATATCAATCAGATACTATAATGCAGATATAGAACCAAAATTCACCAACTCTATCCGTTTTGGTTTTATCCGAAAATGGTGTATAAACCCAAGTTACGGTCCCATTTTAATGGAGAAATAATGATGATCCATTAGGTTTTAAGTTTTTAGGGTGTAGCCTATTTTCAGACAAAGCTACATGGGGTAGGAGTATGATTATGGTAGTATCACCAACAATGATTGCGATTCCAAGAATCCCTCAAGAAAAGCGATCAACATTTCGGGTCAAGGAATCGAAAGGGACTTGCCATCGAAGCAAGGAACGCAAGGATGCGAAACGTTTATCCTTTAGCATCCATGTTAGGGAATATGAAGAAACCAAGTCTGGTTGGTGGTTTGGAACATTTTTTTTATTTTTCCCATCATATTGGGAATGTCATCATCCCAACTGACGAACTCCATCATTTTTCAGAGGGGTAGGTTAACCAGCAACCAGAAGTGGTTGGTTGATAACCTACCAAAATTGCCAAGCAGAAGTGGATTTCAACAATGATGGACATGTCGAGTCGAAAAGTATAACTTTGGAGTGACCAGATGTTGAAATCCAACGGGAAAAAAATCCAAACCTGTTTGAATAGGTACTGTACTTGAATAGGTTTGCATCAAACTTTACATAGATCTATCTGGGTAAATTATAACGACCTCACTGCGAGCTCACTATAATCATATATAGTTAGTAGAAATAATCCCCAAATGGCCTTAATTCAGGTTAGTGAAATATTATAATTTACCCAGATATATGTTTAATGACATGTCTTTCAACTTTTACAAGATGCTTTGGATCAGCCACCAAACTGGCCGCGTTGGATATTGTTTGATCCTGGCTGTGTGTTTAATCTTATTCAAAATTTGGTCAAGTTGTGGGTTTGTGCTAGGGCCTAGGCTATCCCATTCCATTGCATTTTCTCATCATGTTCCCAATTCAAATGTCAAATTGCACAAATTGCATCAAATTGCAATAACTTGAACACATCCCATTTTCAGACACGCCCAAATCCCAACCCCTACACAAAACCACCCGACTTCAATCGGGGCTCTGGCCACAGGTTGGCCTGATCTATTTAAACCCCGAAGGCGCCGTCAGGATGGGAAAACACAGAGGAATAGAAGATCAGAGCTAGAAATTCACCTGTCACAATCATCAATCTTAGTTTGTTATTCGATCAGACACCACTTGAAGATCCGAATAACTTCTAAGTGGCTAGAACATTCCAAGAACCTGTTTTTCCGGGGGTTTAGTTACCAATCGAAAATTGCGGAAACGGAACCTCCTATTAGCCAACCAGTATCCAACTAGAAATTCATCTGTTTGCTGGGTATCTAACCCCTCATGCACTAAAGCGCACCTGGCATGAACCTTTGCATCTGGGGCTACTGGTAGGTCCTATTCACCAGCAGTTGGGCTAGGATGGCTAGGTCGGTGTAGGAAAAACATGGGACAGAAAATCCAGGGAGATAAAACCTATAAACTACCTATCACTTGTACTATTGCGAACAGACACATTTTCCAAGCAATGTGGTAAACCCAAATAATAAATACCATTCCCAAGTCATCATCCTTTTTTGCGTGCTATGCCATACCATCTCCTTAAATGATGGCTTTATGGCAGCCAAGGTTTATCGAACTAATTACACTAAACCACCCATATAACTTGATGGTTTATAGCACCCATATTTTGAGTGGTAAAATTGAGGATAAGGTTTATTATGGCTAGCCATTAGCCATTCTCATGGATAACTTTTTTGAGCCATTATTAACCATTGTGAAAACATATGAAAACCATTTTAACACAATGTTTGAACTGTAAATCACCATGACCATTCAGAGCTGACTCTATCCCATTCTTGGTGCCAGGCCCCGTGACAAAGCAGTCAGATGCTTGACACATCCACAACGATGGCGACGACTGGGGCGGTCAGGGTGTCATGATCATTCTGGGTAAATTTTATGTCAGAACTCACATCGCGACCGAACCCTGGAATGGTCAGGATTGGTGCAGAATTATCCCAAAGTTTGCTGCAAGTTTCAGCTTCGTGAAGTATTATAATAAATTATAATTTACCCAGATCTTTGAGCTTGGAGAGAACTATCAGAGTTGTCCTTTGCCAGCCACATGGATAGGGGAGTCACCCCAAGAATGACCTATAAGATGTGTCACCCTAGCTTTAAGTTGGTTTACAACCCCAATTAACTATAGTTATATCTACCATAAACTTAAACCAAAGTTAACCTATACCAATGCCCAAAAAGGTAGAACTTGGTAAAATCCTACAAAAATAGTGACACATGACTTTTCTAATCCTTTCTATTTGGGGATTACTATAGTCATAAACGAACTTCGCAATCGTTTCTTTTTTGTCGCTAAGGATGGCAGCTACCAAGTGGACCCCGATCCCGCCAAGAGTGCCCACGACATCCGCGATGCCTTTGGTCGGATGGGCATGAACGACTCCCAGACAGTGCCGAAGCCCAGTTCTGGACCCTGGCACACTGAAACACCACCATTTCCACAGATGCAGATGCTGCTGGGTTCCAGTATGTTTTAGTATGTTTTATTGGCTTTCCACTGGCGGCTTGAACCATACATTGATCTGGAAGGCTTTGAAATGAAGGTGGATGGTGGCGTCCAACATACGCCGTACGCTGTTGATTCCCGTGATGAACTCCTTGGCTATTTTTTCTGAATCCCCATTTTACCATCTTCGCATTTTGAGTGGATGTCACACTCGGATACCACTTATTATTAGCAATGAAACTATTTTCAGCAACTATTACTTTATAGTTTTACAATCATTATATTCTATCATCAAACTAACTACTAGATATTTGTTAAATTACTAATGATGAGGCTTAGCGGCTAACCATTGATATAAATACATACTTATATCACCATGAACGATCATAGTCATAGTGATGGGCTCAACCAGTAATGTAACTACACTCAACTGACTCAACTGTTGTCAAACTATCAATATGCTATCAACACTATGATTAGCATATTAGCGATCATCATTATAACAATTACAGTTATAGTTATATTATATTGTTGTTAACTAATGACTATGATAACTATTATTACAACTATTATACATTATTATACCATATTATCAGAATCATAACTATTATTGTTGTATGGTTAAAGCTAATTTCAAGCCTACTGTAGTATTGCTAACCCAAAAAATGTCACTGTGGTATTAGTTGTGAAGTTGTGTTGATATTAGTATAGTATAATACTAGTTTATATTGAAACAGACACTAGAATTATATCGATACTGGTTATTTGCTAATTAACAATATCTGAATGAATTATGTATAATGACCTCACTGTGACATTAGTGGAATTATGTGAATTGGACTCCCATAGCTGGCCAAACTTTTCAGGTATTTTGCTGAAATTTATCCAGATTGGTTAGGAGGGAGCAAAGGAGCTGAGGATATTGAATTTCCCTGGAAAATCAAGTATAATGTTATAACTGCTAATGGTATGGAATATTCGTTGTAACAATAACATTATATATTTATAGTGATAACATTCCATTTTGAGAATAATATTTGTTCCATGATAGAATTACAGTATATTATGACCAATAATTCCATGAAATCCAATGTTATTTTTCATATGACATAGAAACATTGAAAAATCATCAACAACAAAACTGGTTTATTTTAACGTCACTAGTTCTATGCTAGATATTTTTGAAACATCAATATGGAATATCACTAGAAAAACTGCTATGGCTATGCCATAGTTTTGCCGCTGCCCCAACAATCCCAGGTGGCTTTGATCGGAGGTGGCCACACCTTCGGCAAGAGTCACGGAGCCTGCCCTGCTGGGCCAGGGCCAGCACCCATCGAGGACCCGGACGGTGGTGTTGCTAAACCGCATGAACTTTTTCGTGATAAGTTGTCTATAAGTACCAGAAACATCCATTAAAAAAAAAGTTTATAAACAACACTATACTTGTGGTTTCTAAAGATCCATAAATCATAGTTCTTGGAGTTATAAACCAGCTATAGCTATTGTCTGGGGGCCTCACATTGTCTTACCCTCCTCTAAACCAGCACTTCGATGTGGAAAATTTTGCATTTTTTGATGCCTTTCCCGCCGTCAACCGCGGCGCAGGACGTCAACAACCCTTGGCCGGGCAAGTGTGGCACTGGAAAGGGGCGTCTCGGAAGTGCCATTTTTCTGTGGGATCTCCTGGGGAGATTTAGCTCCTTATCCCATGATATTTTACACCCCTGGGGTCTTGGGAGCAACCGTGGTAATGGAGATTGGTTGAACCAACATGAACCAACTATGTCCAATTTGGGTCTGAAAAAGGGTGATAGACCCAGAAATGGTGGCGATTTTAATCTGGAATATGATGAATATAATGATTCACCAGTAGGGGGTACCAAATTTTCAGACACGCCCATTTTTCTGGGTTTTCTAGCCATCAACATGGGGATATGGTGATCTCAAGGTCCTTTCGATGATTGGACATTACCCATATCGCCTTGGAAAACCGGCTGGGGATGGAGCCTAGCCAAACGGCAACTCCCTGCAGAATGGGGACAAACCTTGGAGAAGCATGGGAACTGGGACCAGCTTGGTGTGAGACTTGGGATGATTTGGGTTTCTTCAAAATTGAGGATCCCCAATATATCCAATATGACATTTCTAAGGGCGCAAATGATGATCAATCATCAGATTTTGGGGCAGCCTATTCTCGGGTACCAAAGCCTATTCTCGGTTATGGATTTCGGCATCAACCAACTGCATTCCATGGAACATCTGAACCTTGGAAGCCACTGTAGTTGCTGCAGTGAAAAATCTATAACTTCCTGCCTTTTCCTCTGGTATGTTATTGTATCCCCACGAATTATCTCAATTGTTCTACAATTATCCCATCAAATTATTTGTTTTATCCCATCAAATATCCCAATATCCTAATTATCTCGAAATTATATCCCAAACAAATCGCACAATTCTTATCTCATCAAATCACCCAAGATTTCTAAGCGCCAGGGATGACACCTTCACCAGCGGCCGGGCGGGAGATGTTTTCCGGCGGGGTTCGACGCATTTAAAACCACATATATATATATATATATTGTATTATATATATATGTCTAAATAGATCTCATGATGTTTTGTTTTTGACTGAAGATTCAAGTTACAAGTGTCATACTGGTAAGAAACAAATTTGGAATTTAACGTGATTTACCCGCTGGTAATTTAACAGTTTGCCATGGAAAATCAAAAGCAACCATGGACGTAGATGATGCAACTCTTAAGCAATTCCATTATTCCATTACTATGTGAGAATACCATGGGGTATAGATGGTTAAGTTTATAATAGATGGAACCCCTAATCATACCATAATAAGATAATAATACTAGTTATTATGGTTCCCCTATTTAAGATGGTATGGAAACTATCTATAATTGTCATAACAACCAGCCGGCCACGCTGCAGTGCTGGCTGCTCCGCCTCCTTCAAGGGTCATCTCACAGTGTGGCACGACTCAGGATCCATGTGAATCCAAGTTGCCTTTTTCCCCTTTTCAGATATGGGGATGGATCAATACCTATTAATACCATTTTTAGTGGGATGAACATCCATTTACCAGCTATTTTGATGTTCACCAGGGGTACAAGGTTTTGACACACTGCCATATCGAAACTAGGGATTGGACTGGTGAAAAGAACAATATAGGAGTTATCTAGACTAGAGATCTAGATTTTCAGATATCTAGACTATCTAGAGCTTTCATTGAACAATATAGGACTGGTGAAAATTCATGGCATCTCAATGCCATCTCCCGGTCAGGCATGGAAGGCCCTTGGACCACCAAGCCCAACGAGTGGGTCCGGACCCTTAAAGCCTTAAACGATGTCTAGTTACTTGGAGGTTTCCATAAATGGTTGGTTTAGAATGGACAAAAATCCTGAACATGACAGATTTACCAACATTTTACAGAAATGAAGGTGCCTCAGTGGTCACCATGGGTTGCAATACTAAAATTATCCAAAATGGTCTAATGACTTGGATGATTTTGGGTACCCGTATTTTAGGAAACCCCCGTTTCTCGTAAGAAGACATCATAAGAAGAAGATGTTTCTCAAAACGACACACGATGCAAAACACAGCGGATGCGCGTGAGGTTTTGCTTCGAGCCAACACGAATTGGCATGACATATATACAACTATGAAGTATATCATGAACTCTAATTATATCAAACATTATCAAACTATTCTCCCATGATAAACAGAGTATATCAAACAAAGCATATATATATATATATAAATCCTATGCCCGGCCGATGTCATCTCCCGAGGACAACGAATTCTTCAACAGCCTGCTGAATCGTAGCTGGCAACTGATCAAAGGCAGCTTGCCGGGCTTGCCGGTGAGTGTATCGCAATGTATCACATCCACGAGGAAATGATGGGTAAAGCCATGCTGGTTGAGGGTTTCAAACATTTATTGTTTGATGACTGGGTGGTGGTTTCAAACATTTTTTATTTTCCACAATATATGGGATAATCCTTCCCATTGACTAATATTTTTCAAGATGGTTGAAACCACCAACCAGATGATGTTTTATGTGTTTTTCAACCATATTTGGTTTGACTGGTTGAGATGACACATATTTTTGTGATAACCAACGAAGAATATTTTCAAGGGGTGGCTCAACCACCAACCAGCATATATTATATATACCTTCAGTTTTGTGGTCAATCTGTTGATGTTATTGGTTTCTTAATTACCCTCTGGTAGACTAACATAGCTATTGAAAATGGTCATTTATGGTTGATTTTCCCATTAAAAATAGTGAATTTCCATAGTTATGTTAGTTTACCAGAGGGTAGGTTCTCTAGCCACATATCCACATGTCATGTACGGTTGCTATATGGACTGCTAGTTGATTGGACTTCGGAATTTGATGCGCTGCTGCAATTGTGAACGCATGGTGAACGCATTGGTTGGCCGGTGGGCATCCTGCAATGTAAGGGGAAACATCCCAAGTTTTGTTGATGAACTCAGTGTGTTTTTTGTGGTACATTGTGTTTTTTTTTTCGACCGATTCTGAGAAACCCCCCCAGCTATTGCTAAGTCCGATCGTTTGGTGAATTCATCTGAAAAATCCCAAAGAATATTGTGCTGGTTGATTGGTTAGTCAAATAAATTTTACACATCCAATATGTTTTGCTGGTTGTATGGATTATATGATGTAATTATGATGATTCAATCATTCTTTTTGGATGTGTAGTCCATATACCAGTAGTAGAGCGCAAGGCGGTGACCGAAGTTTCCAAGATAGGAAACCTATAGGAGAGGTTGGTTGTTGTGAATCACGAATGGCAGAATCCACTGATGGACCGAAAGGTGGTTGGAGTTGTGTGTTTTGGAGTGGCTGCAATGGTTGCAGTGGTCACCTCACCCACAACTGCTGGATGTAGTGTAGGGTAGTGCAGTTGTAGTTGTAGTTGTAGTTGTAGTGTAGTGGAGTTGTAGTTGTAGTGTAGTGTAGTTAGTGTGTGTGTGTAGTTGTAGTTGCAGTTGTAGTTGTGGTGTGGTGTAATTAAGTGTAGTGTAATCTAGTGTAGTGTAGTGTACTGTAGTGTTGTGTACTGTAGTATACTGTAGTGTAGTATAGTGTGGTGTAGTCTAGTGTAGTGTAGCTGTAGTTGTAGCTGTTGTCGTAGTTGTAGTGTAGTGTAGTGTAATTAGTGTAGTGTAGTGTGGTGTGTTTGTAGTTGTAGTTGTAGTTGTAGTGTTGTGTAATGTAGTGTAGCGTAGTTGTAGTGTAGCTGTATTGTAGTTGTAGTGTAGTTGTTGTGTACTGTATTGTACTGTAGTGTAGTGTAAGTAGTGTAAGTAGTGTAGTGCAGTGTAATTAGTGTAGTGCAGTGTAATGTACTGTAGTCGTACTTGAAGTTGTAGCTGTATTTGTAGTTGTAGTGTAATTAGTGTAGTGTAATGCAGTTTAGTGTAGTGTACTGTAGTGTACTGTAGTGTCCTGTAGTGTGATGAGTGTAGTGTACTGTAGTGTAGTCTAATGTAGTGTAGCGTAATGTAGTGTAATGTAGTGTAGTTGTAGTTGAAGTTGTAGCTGTCTATCTATCTATCTATCTATCTGTCTATCTGCAAGCTTGAAAACGAAGCTATTCTGGGAGATTTCCTCAATTTTTGAACTTGACAAGTAGCAGTTCTCCAAGACTTCCTCAATTTTTTGACAGTATCAAAAAACGAAGAAATTCTGTGAGACTTCCTCAATTTTTGAAGTTGACAACATCAAAAACGCAGCAATTCTGCGAGACTTCATTGAAAAATGGAAACTTGAGTGCAGAGCTGACGACCTTGTGCCAATGCGTTTTGCGATGTTTCCACTCCATCTGTCTAAAGTATTGCGCCTGCCACGAAAAAGTGCCAGGTCATACGAAGTGCTGCACCTGTCACGCAAAATCACCTTAGCAAACCTACCTGAAGATCTGATGCTCCAAAATGCAACGCTTCTCAGGAAATCAGCGCCCTGACCTCCAAACATCTCTGATGAACATGTCTCTTGTACTGCAACTGCCACGCAAAAAGCCTCTTTGCAGATCCTCTTCAAAAGTCCCACCCCTGCCAGCGCTTTTGAAACTGCTACAAAACCGTCACGTTTTGCTCACTTTTGACAAGGTGCAAAATCCTTTGCGCCTGCCCCCCAAAATGACATCTGAACGTTCAAGAGTGCTTCGATCCCGTCAGTTTTTCACACTCTTGACTTGGAAATGTGCTTCGCGCCACAACGGCGTGCACTTTTTCAACATGTCAACTTCCAACAGTGCTCCAAGCATGGTGTGTTTTGTACATTTTGACTTGGAAATGTGCTTCGCGCCACAACGGCGTGCACTTTTTCGACATGTCAACTTCCAAAAGTGTTCCGAGCATGTTGTGTTTTGCACGTTTTGACTTGGAAATGTGCTTCGCGCCACAACAGTGTGCACTTTTTTCAACGTGTCAACTTCCAACAGTGCTCCAAGCATGGTGTGTTTTGTACATTTTGACTTGGAAATGTGCTTCGCGCCACAACGGCGTGCACTTTTCCAACATGTCAACTTCCAAAAGTGCCCGAGCATGGTGTGCTTTGTACATTTTGACTTGGAAATGTGCTTCGCGCCACAACAGCGTGCAATTTTTTATCTCGCAGCTGGTCAGATGGCTCCGCGCCCGCCGCTTTAGCGACCCTACTTTTCGACGCTCCTGAGTGACAAATCATTGGGAACAATGATTCGCGACTTTCCTAGCGCACCTGCATCTTCTTTCTTCTGATTCTTCCCACCTCTGCTTTTTCATCTGTCCATATTGTCGGAAGTTTGACTTCTAAACTTCCTTCGATAAGTACATACTCATTAAACCAAAATTGTCATGTTTTTTGGTTCAATCCGATCAGCCCTTGTTTGGAATAGCAATAACTATGATCATTCCGATATAGCCAATAATCCCATGATGATATAACCCAATGAATATCTTATCACATGGAACTGTAAAGATAATACCCTTGATCACACTCATATTATACACAATGATATAATCCAAATCCCGCGAAACCATTCCAATTACAGAATCGTTGCCCAAAAAATATTCAAAAAACAATGGATTTACATGGATATAGCATTTATCCAATCAAATAGATCCATAGATATCTAGAGATAATGGTATATTTTCCCTAAACAATGGGGGACGCAATGTCCCTTAAAAAATGAATTCTTGAAGGGACACAAACAAAATACGGTTTTTAAGGCTGGACATGGGGTTTGGCACGTCTCCTAATTTTTAAGGATCCTGCTTTGGAACCTTTGTTTGATATTGCATTTATTTGCATTTGACATTGTCCTGCAGGCGCTATCGTTGGTAGCATTTCTTGCTGGCGTTGTGACATCACTGTACTGCTGAAGACAATACTGTATAATACCGTATATACCTGATGCTGATTTGGTACTGTCTATGGAGCGGGGGGGTTGTGTATGGTTGTGTCATGGTCGTGCAAGCTAGCCAGTTGTTTTCCGGTGGTTCCTCCTCCAAATCTTGGTGCACCAAAAGAAAAAATAACAACTCAGTGGCGATTTAGCCTGGGGAACTTGGGGAATCCCTAGGGAAATATAGGTCGCTGGTGCGGACACGGGATTTTTTAAGGAAACAGTGGCCTAGCTATGCCTAGCTGCTCATTTTCCACTAGTTTTTGGGCTAAACTGTTTAAACCATTTTAAATCCTGCTAAATCCCTTAGAAATAAAAAGACCGGTGGTCCCTCCTCCAAACATTGGTGCCCCAAACATTGGTGCCCCAAACATTGGTCCCTCCATCCATCATCATTTATCAATCGTTTTTTCCCTTCATCAAACCAGATTACCCTCCAATCAAACTGTCAAAATTCCACCTCACACAGCATGACCAATTTTGTAAGGGGATGAGCGTTTGCCTATTCTTTAAGGCCTTGTTTGCCGGTCCTATTTTGGCCCGGTCCCTGATCCTTGAAGGTGACACCACTTGGTCCCTTAAAGAATCAAGCCTTAGGGAAAACAGCCGAATTCCAAGGGCGATATTTTTATCATATTTATAATATTTTAAATATTTGTAATATTTATAGTATTTGCAGTATTTCATATTTATACTATTAATAGATCATAACTATCCATAGATATTCATGATATTAGTATCATTATACTCATCATGGATACTTATACTCAGTGATACTATTGAGTATCCATGATAATTGGACCAATCATACTATTAATGATATTCAATCATGATAATGATATTGGTAGATATCCATAGGTCATAAATATCTAAAGATCATTGGTCCATTTAATATCATAATATTTATCGATAGTTATCCATGATATTCATGATATATTGATTATCAATCATAACTATCCATGATAACTATCCATAGATAATGGACCAATGATGGATATCATGGATATTCAATCATGATAATCATTGGTCCATCATATCCGATGGATTTCTACATTTGCCAATGGCTTTTTCGTCCAGGCCCTGGTGGACACTGGCAGTGGCGAGTGCAGAACGCCGTGGACGCGGAGAAGAAACTCATGAGGTTTCTGTGAAAAAAAGGGATTTTTAATGGGATTTTCATTGGTATTTAATTGGATTTAATATGGGACATATATATATATTTATATGTACATACATACATACATACATACATACATACATACATACATCCATGCATGCATACATACATACATACATACATACACATACATACATACATACATACATACATACATACATACATACATACATACATACATACATACATACATACACATACATACATACATACATACATACATACATACATACATACATACATACATACATACACAGATACACACACATATACATATATATATATATATCATATTATATATAACGAAAGGTAGCTCCAGTGGTGCTACCTTGAGTTTAGCTTTGCGAAGTAAATGGGAGGCTGGCCAGCCCAGGTACCTATCAGCCAACCGGTCAAAAAACTATATGATGTGCATATGCTTGTGCCGACAGTGTATGTTAGACAGCTCTTTGTTCCCCATTGTGCTTACGCGCTTCGCGTCGTTGATATTGTTCTTTCTTGTTGGATTGCTTATGGCAGCAATGACGATTACAGAGTCGCAGCGCTGTTCTCTGATGTGTAATGGATCACTTGAACGTGTTCTAGTTGCAGGAAGACATGACGGTGGATGCACCGGTGCGTAAAGCTCACATATCATGTGGTCGGGGTATTGCCTGTCTGCTTCCTTGGTGTGTTCTACAGGCCAGCCCAACAGAACTCAGCGGCTCAGAAACAGAATGGAGCGATTCTGAAACAATCCCCATCATCGAGGTCAGCGATGGTGAGGAGGCGCCAAATTGAAATCATTCTTTATTCTTTGCCAGCTCCTCGCCCATGCCTGCTGATGCTCACGTGTAAGTAAGTGTTTACTGCAGGAGCCATTGCAACAACCCAAGGCTACATCAAAACGGTCCAGCGGGCAAAAGTCGCGTGGACTCAATAGCAAGTTGTCGAGCGGGTCTATAACTTTCAGGTACAAGCTTCCAGCAGCTTTCAGGTGGACATTTCAAATGGCAAAAGATTACCGACTGCTCGCAAAGTTACACTGAGAGAAGTACCTGTTGTGCCGGTGATGAAACGGATGTTTTTGCGATGATGAGGGGCCGGGGTCGGAAAACAGCCAAGGCTGTAACAATAGTTTTCATGACTGTAGGCAGCAGCTGCTCCAGAGGTAGATGCCTAAGTTCAAGGTGCCTCGCAAAGAATTTATGTGCATGTTCTATAGGTATGTGTTTTTGGCTGTGCACTGATTGGTTTCCTGTGATTAAAATCTTGCTGTGCTAATAGAGCGTGTGTAGGATGACCTGTGTGCGAGAAGCTGTCTGCAAACTTGATTACCACGGCCACGGCTGTTGATCTCACCGCGCCACTTAAAGGTGACTGTCCATGTGTATGCGATAGGATACCACTTGCTCGCATCATTCTTGTTCTTCATTGTGCTTTTCTGCTGCAAGGATGGGGAAATCCATCGGCGCCAGGCCTACCACATGCTCCAGCCTGTGTACTGCTGTGAAGCCGGTCATCAAGGCTGGATACAGCATGAGTTGCGACCCAAGTTGACAGACACACCACTTCGCCAAACAATTTTGCAGGAGTATCAGCCGTACCTGAGGCACACACCTGGCCCCTCCAGCATCAAATTACGGGCAGGCGTGCTACTAATGAAACTGCTCATGCATTGGTACCCTTTCTTTGCTAGTCAAGTGGCCGGCAATCGTCAAATAGGTTGTGGTTTCACGTTTTTTTTGAAACTCTCGGAGCAAAAAACACCGTAAATACTGATGTTACGTTGTTTGTGCCTCGGAAGCCCAAAACCACGGTATGCCTCTGGTAACAAAAATCACAGTATTTACAGTGTTTTTTGCCTAGCAAAAAAACTGGTATTTACACAGTTTTCAGCATGTTGCAAGAAGTACTTTTTTTCCATGCCAAAGGCACAAAAACACTGTAAATTACAGTGTTTGGGGTCTGCTCTCAGGGTTCGTGGAGGGGGCGAGGGGGGGGTCCTCAAATAAACAGCAATCGCCTGAATAATCGAGAAAAAAGCTGCACGGGTAACAGAGGCAACAGCACAACAGCAACAAGAAGGAGAAGAAGAAGAAGAAGAACAACAACAACAACAAGAACAACGACAACAACAAGAACAAAAAAAGAACAAGAACAACGACGACAACAAGAACAAAAAAAGAACAAGAACAACGACAACAACAAGAACAAAAACAAGAACAACAACAAGAACAACGACAACAACAAGATCAAAAAAAGAACAAGAACAACGACAACAACAAGAACAAAAACAAGAACAAGAACAAGAAAAACAACAAGAAAAACAACAAGAAAAACAACAAGAAAAACAACAAGAAAAACAACAAGAAAAACAACAAGAAAAACAACAAGAAAAACAACAAGAAAAACAACAAGAAAAACAACAAGAAAAACAACAAGAAAAACAACAAGAAAAACAACAAGAAAAACAACAAGAAAAACAACAAGAAAAACAACAAGAAAAACAACAAGAAAAACAACAAGAACAAAAATAAGAAGAACAGAAGAACAATAAGAACAAGAAGAACAATAAGAACAATAAGAACAACAACAACAACAGCAACAACAACAACAAGAACAACAAGAGCAGTAACAACAACAGCAACAGCAAAAACACTAGTACATTAACAAAAACATTGACTTTATGATCAGCGTGTTGCCTGCCGGACCTCAACCACAACGAACCTCCGAAGATATACCAGATAGAATGCCAGAAAGGCTTGCAGAAAATTTATGAGATAAAATGCGAATGCCAGATAGCATGTCAGAAAATATGTTCAAAAAGTGTCACTTGGTGGGGATTACTCCAAAAAAATCATTTGTTCCGAAGGCTTTCAAAAATTCATGAAGACAGCCAACATGACGCCTTGCGGGGCCCTGCGCGCATCATCGCCATCATCAACAACGGTAATCACATCAAGCATTTGATCTTGGATTCTTTTGTTTCATTTTTTTTGCGTTTTGGCTGTCGTGACGCATTTTGCACCGATACGTTTCTACAAGCAGACGGCGTTACGCACAGAAACCTTTACACAGAGCAGTTTTTACGTGCAGATATTCTTACACAGAGAGGTTTGTGCACAAAAAACTCTTGTACACAGACGCCTTTATATACAGATGTTTTTACGCAAAGAAGGAAATATTTACCACAGATGCTTTGTACAAAGATGTTTTTGCGCCCATAAATAAAGGAACATAGGCGTTTTTATACACAGAACCTTTTCCACAGAGAAGCCTTTGCACAGAACAATTTTTGCACATGTTTTTTCTACACAAAAATCATTTGACACAAAGAAATTTGTACGCACAGACTGCACACAGAAGTTTTTACAGACTTTTACAGACCGACTTTCGTGCATGCAGAAACTTTACACAGCAGAATTTTTTTCGCACAGAAGCCTTTACGCACAAACAAAATTACGCACAACAATTTTTACAGACAGACGGCTTTTACACACAGAAAGTTCTCCGCACAGAAGGGTTTACAGTTTACACACAACATTTTTTACATACCGACGCTTTTACGCACAGATGTCTTTACACAGTCACAGACACAAATTGCACACAGAAACTTGTGCACACAGCACGCGTTTACACACGGCCAATTTTTACACAGAGAGGCTTTGTTTCCCCTTCTTGATCACCTACCTTTCGTGTTCCCCCTCTCAAACATAATTTGGGAGATAATGGGGATATCATTGGGATGTTGTATGATTGGGAACATGGAACATGGTGATTCAAATGATATGGGCATTTAAGCAACAAACAGTGACGATTTACAGTAATTCTGGTTGGTGGTTTGGAACATTTTTTCCCCCAATAGTTGGGATGATGATCCAATCTGACTTTCATATTTTTCGAGGGGGTGGCTCAACCACCAATTAGAATTCATGGGGATTTCATGGGGAAATGATAGGGATATTTTCATGGAAAATCCCATGGGATTTTACCACCATCCAATAACCATGAGAAACTCCAGGAGCTGTGGCTGCTACCCCCCTGTTGCTTCATAGTTACCCGTGGCAAAGATGTGGAACAGCCATGGTTTCCCGTTCGGAACATGATCTACGAATGGTGGGTTTTCCTGACTAAAACAATTCGTTTACAGGAGGGTAACCAACAACGATGAGGATAACACGGGGTCATAGTGGGATTTTTTTTGGAACATTATGGGTGGAACTTTTCATGAGGTATGAATAGGGATATGATTGGGATTACATAACCTGGTATACAACCAATAGTATACCCTCTGGTAAACTAAGATAACTATTGAAAATGGACCATTTACCCATCAAAAATGGTGGTTTTCCATAGTTATGTTAGTTTACCAGAGGGTATACATATTTGAGTTTGTCCAGACGTGGGATGGAAAACCAACAACCATTGTTGACAAACGCCAAGAACTAAGGTTGTCCGGTGGATATTAATTGAACTAGTTAACGCAGGATATCCGAACAAGAATGGGACTATAACCAACAACAATGGTAATATGAAAGGGATGGGGATCACAATTGAACCAGCATCTATGGGATTAAAACAACAACAATGGAAGTATCACCGGGATATAATGGGAATACATATATATATATATACACATACACACATACACATATTTAAATAGGAATTTGATGGGATGGGTGTTTCTGACAATGGGGAATAATCCCTAAATCCCTAAATGGCTTTGGTAAAAGAAACGGAGATTGCACAGTGGACTTGCTCTCGTGGCAGTGGTACCCTATTTTAGACAGAAAAAAATATTTGGGGGTGGTACAGTATACAACCAATTTTTAGGGTAGAAAACACCAACCGTAACTCGTTTTTTTTTTTTTCTGTTACCCTCTGGTAAACTAACATAGCTATGGAAAATCACCATTTTTAATGGGAAAACTCACTATAAATGGCCATTTTCAATAGCTACGTTAAATTACCAGAGGGTAATTGAACCAACAAGCAGCAACATAATCTGGCGTCCTCCAAAGAAATGAGCATACCAGGTTCGGTTTTCGCTGCGTAGCTTGTAGGTTGATTAACCATATTAACCATCAAAAACGGTACGGTGCAAGCGGGGAAAATGGGGATTTAACCACCAACGATGTATTCTTCGTCTGGGTAAAGCCTTTCTTCTTTTATGGAACGTAAGCATTTTATCCCGAGGGATTGACAACCCGACAGATCCACGCATTCGTGTTTTTTTTTTCGAAGTGGGAAATCATGGCTGTTCGGGGGGTCAATGAGTCAGGATTTTTGAGCCATCGTGGAATCGACCTCTGAACCTGTTTGATGAAAAAGTGCGGGACTCTGCATACCAGTATCTTTAAGAGCTTTGAACAAAGCATTTTTTTGTAGGCCTTCCGTTGTGACTCATGCTTATCCACAAGCTGTCTTGCTCAGCAGTCACAGCAGCCACCTAGCCAGGCTTACCAGTGACATGGCCCTCATCCACGACGATATCTACCACGGCATCGTCCATGACTGGGGCGGTTTCCAACTGCGATCGCATTGCTGGACATTGCTGGACATTGCTTCATTTCATCCATTGGTTGATCATGACTTTTAATTACTTTAGTAGGATAGCCATAACTGGGGGTATATCCATTTTCAGAGACAGCCATAACTGGTGCTTGTTCAAGATGATTTTCCTGATGCTTTTCTGGCAGTTTTCTGATGGTTTTCTTTGGCTTTTCCCATCTGGAGTTCAGATGCACCATGTTCGGCAGTAGAGATGCACCATCGACCTCCTGAAACCAAAGTTCCTTCGTTCGTCCATAGTCCTTCCTGTTATTTGGAACACACAGATTTGGAATCACAATGACATGGTGACAATGCCTCTGCTGTTCCTACTGTTCTTTGGAAATTTTGGAACCAACCTGTTATTTGCAGTCTGAGTTCCGAAACCTCTGGTGTTGTGTAGCATCATTCCAGAGTTTTCACATTCCCTCAGCAATGCGACTGAGATGATGAACCTTACGACCTGAATCCCCCCAGCCTTCAACATTCGATGTGTATCGATTTGTATAGGTCACTTTTCAACAGAAATATCCGTGAGAATCTGAGACAAGGATGAAATCCAAATTTCAATGGTTTCATACATTTTTGATTTGCAAATCATGTAAAAAATCACATATTGCCATATGTCTGGTTGGTTTTTACATCGCCATTTCCTTGTCGCTTCAAATCCCTAGATATCCCTGCGCAGGAGTTCGCCCTCAACTTCCCAGCCTTTGAACGGGCTTTTGATGAGGCACTGTGGTGCAAAATGGCGTGATTTATATGGGATGAGAAACCATCTTGAACGTATCTTGAATGGTTCATTTCTAAAAACTACAAGACAGTACAAGTAACTTTGTTCACATATTTTTCCAAAGTATTGTTATAATTATATGTGTTATTGTGCGTTGTTGTTTGTACTTGAACCTAATGACTAATGGATCTGGCTTGACATTTCCGCTACAGAATGGCCTGTGGCCACAGTTTTCATGCGATTTTCTGAAGGGTTTCTAGTTCATTTTCAGATTCATATTTCAATCCGGATCCATATGGCTCATTCCCAATTCATATTTGATAGACCTGGACAATTTATGTTGCGACATCACGTCGCAACGTAACTGGAATGATGGTTTGGATTGGGCTAAATACATCTAAATACCAAAATAGCCGAACTTTTGAGGGGAGTGAGTCACTCCTCTAGACTCTATAATTTACCAACATATGTACTGTATGTCATGTACAGATATAGTTCCACTGTTTCTGGTGACGAAGTTATAACCTTGGTGACGAACTCAGAAAACCAGTTGTCAGTCTGACAAAGCCAGGCTTGGTTCAAGTTGACCACCAGCGGTGGGCGTTGGTCGCAAAACATGAAATGCACCTTGGCACCATGTTTTCTGATTTTCCATCCCAATGACATGGTACAGGAAGGTCCCCACCCCCAGTTATCTTTGTTGCTTTATGCCCTATCTATGTATAGATTCCGAAAGATAAGATTTTCACCTACTCTTGAAAAGACTATCATAGCAACAAACAACATGATTATGAGATGTTTCCCATTCCAAAAAGAATTTAATGTTTTACCAGTTGTAATTTCCTAAGAAACATGGGACGATCTCCGGAATTGAGTTGTACCTCTTGGAGCTGGAGATTTTAAAGGGTGTCACGTCGAGGTAGCTGGACATTTAAACATGACTGGTTGGTGGTTTGGAACCATGGAATTTTATGACTTTCCATAAATTGGGAAGAATCATCCCATTTGACGAACTCATATTTTTGGGGTAGGGCTCAACCACCAACCAGATGAGTAAACCAAGATAGATTTGGAACAGCCATCATTTGTACCCTCTGGTAATTTAACGTAGCTATTGAAAATGGCCATTTATAGTGGATTTTCCCACTAAAAATGGTGATTTTCCATAGCTATGTTAAATTACCAGAGGGTAGATCATTCTCCAAGCGGTTTAATATTTTTGTATCTTTACCCTAGAACCGAGATCTTATCGTCCCATGGTGGCTCAACACCCCTGGCCAAGCGTGAGGGATGACAAACTCCAATCGATTCCGATATATCAGATATATCAGGTTTGAAATATTCATATGATTCATATATATACCCTCTGGTTATTTAACATAGCTATGGAAAATCACCATCTTTAATAGGTAAATCATCATAAATCATCTATAAATGGGCCATTTTCGATGGCTATGTTAGGTAAAAGAGGATATCATATACTCGAATTGTGAGTGAAACAACAAGAGATACACGATTTTTTTTTACAGATCAGCTCTGACATAAAAAAAACAGGCATTTCTGGCAGCGACTTTCCGACCCCGAAGAAGGTGGTTCCCAGGATGAGGCGGGCTGGACTTTTATTTTTGTAATATAATACATTGTATCATAATATGTGAATAAGTATATAAAGATATAATGATATAATGATATATATATATACACTCACGTAATGATATATATATATATATATCTATAATATATATATAATTATATATATTAGAATATATATATATATTAGAATATGTATATATATATATATACATATTAGAATATATATATATAATGATATATACAATAATATATAGTATGATATACATTATATAATGATATGTACATATGTGATGACATATATAACGATATATATATATAATGATATATATATAAAATGATATATATAAAATGATATATATATATATTTATAACAATATATATATATTTATAACAATATATATAATGATGTATATACAGTGATAGATAACATGATATATATATTATTAAATATAAACAGAAAAATGATATATATAAAATGATATATTCAATTATTTATAATGATATACATAATGATATGCATAATCATATATATATATATAATGATATAATATATATAAAATTATATATATAATTATATATATATATATCATTATATATATATCATTATATATACAATGATGTGTATATATATAATGGTATATAGTTAGATACAATGATATATATATAATGGTATATATATAATGATATATATATATGTATATGTATATACATATATAAATATGTATTTACAAATACATATATATATATATATATAATGAAAAAAAGCACATATATAGTTATAAATAAAAATGCATATATATATATGAATAAATCACTATATATCTAATTATATATATATGTATTCACAATTATATATAATCAAGTATGATTAGATATATAAACAAATTTAACGATACATACACATATATATGTATATGGCAGAATATATATATAATACATAAAATAAGCATAATATTAATTTATAATAATAATAATAATTTTATATACTGCATATGTATATGTATACATATGTATATGATACATGTTTAAAACTAAATCCGCATTTTTTCGGACACCTGTTACAGCTGTTTTTAGCGTTTCTCGTTGAAACGCATAAAATTACTGTAGAAGTAGAAGTGGCTGGGAGGTGGCTGCTAAGCATTCATAGATCTGGGGGATATAGTGGGATACTAATGACACATCAACGGAATATGACTGGAATATGAATGGGAATCTGAATGGGAAAATGGGAATATTGAATTCTGTCGTGAACCTCGCGACGCCCGGGGAATCACAGAGCTAGATGGGAGAAATCGGAGAAACCATCCCACTTTAGCCCCAGAAAAAGTCCACCCAAGGCCTATATATTGAGGGCTAAATTTCAGGGGATAGCCTCCCAAAATATGGCCAGAAATATGGTACGTTTACGTACCTCCAATCTGTTGGATCCTGGAGATCTCCCATTGACAAGTGGTCCCACCTGGTTCCACCAGGGAATTCCCTGGTTTCTGCCAGATTGGACGATCCCATCACGATCTGATCGGAGTGAGGCACGTGTCGGCGGCGTCGGCACTGATTGGGTGCTGGCGGCCGGGACAGAACTCAGCCTGCTCTCAGAACTTGGGTGCTTGCCATGCCCGCATCAGCAATGGCTAAACTAGAACTTGTTGGGACAGTTAGCCATTTTTGGTACCTCAACGTGACACTTTGATACGGGTATGCTCTAAAACTCTAGGGACCCTTCAAATCCTCCACAACTGTGAACCAAAAAACACTTACGAAGTGAGTTTCCAGTAAAATCTATCCCATTCTTTTGCCCACACCGGCTGCTTCCCCACAAGTCGCTCATGTCTTTTTTGATTTTGCCTATATGGATTGATACAAACATTTTAGGTCATTTTAGTATAGTTTCCCACATGTTCAAACACACTTCGAAGGTCGGAATCGAAAACCAAAGCACCTGGAAAGCCTTCGCAGACAGTCGAATTTTCGAGCCGCTGATGCCTCGTTGATTTGCAAAAGATGCGCGTGCAGTGAAGATGTCGAAACTTGCCGTCCAGATGGTTGCCAAGTTTATAGCAATACCGTCTCTGGTAAGCAAACTGTTCTCCATTTAGTTCGATGTTTTTCCCAGTGAGGATTTCCCAGCCAACTATGTTTGATTACGGGGGGCCCCCGACGGTGCACTGATGCTGATACTTGGCTGTATTGTTGCTGCTTTGCGCAACCCATGCCCTGAACTGATACTGGAAGGCTCCTGCTCCAACTTCCTCGCCGTGGATGTTTTTTAGTGTTTCATCTGAGTCCATCACAGGATTTTTTTAGTGAAGGAATCACCAGCTTGATCTAGTTTGGTCCCATTCCAATAAAAAAAAAACGTAAAGTCTCCATATATGAAGTCCTAGTTTCTGCCAACAAATCCATCTTTGCTGGTGGTTTAACTTGCCTTTCTCATAAGACACCTGAACATTTTTTTCCTGATTATTGCACAGGTCAATGACCCGTCAGTGTCTTTGCATTCTGCTTCCCTGTGGTGATTCACCTCCCTTTTTCTCAGCGACAAGACTTTTGCCAAAATGTCCACTGAATTCTTCAATTGTTTCTGCGAAACGTTTTTTTTTCCAATCGTGATATGATTTCATATATACCCTTTGGTAAACGTTTACATAACTATGGAACATCACCATTTTTAATTGGAAAATCAACTATTTCTATGGCCATTTTCAATAGCTATGTTAAATTACCAGAGGGTACACATATTTCTCTTCCCATTTTCTTGGTTCAACCCCAACTTTCAATGGGAAACAACCATCGATTTGAAACTAATCGTTATAATAATGATTTACTGGAGGGTAAATCACCCAGAAGAAGCATTAACCATTATTAAGCCAATGATTTACCATTACTTTCACATATTTTATTTACCAAATAGTTCCCATTTTAAAAGCCATCGAAAGCTTTGATAAACCATCATTCCGCGTCATAAACCATCATGATGTGGTCAAAACAAAAATAAACCACCCATGACCGGGAATGGTAACCATACCACCTATATATTCAATTATATTTATGGTGATGACTGGGGGATGGTGCAAATGGCAGCCAGTTTTACCCACAGAAAACAGCAATTTTCAGCTCCAAAAGACATCCACGCTCAGGTGTACCGCAGCCCCGGGCGCGTAGCTGGTGGTGGCAGAGTCTGGCCATGCTCAAGGTGAAGTGTGGGTTTGCGTATGGGAGGGGTCCTGGAACAATGGAACAATATGGAACAATGATACATTCATTATATTGATTATACATATATATATATATATCTTCATATTTATCCATATTTTACCAACTATATTTAGATGATACATTATAGATATACACACATTTATCTTCATATTTTTCATCCATATTTTATCCATCGTTCTTTTTCCTTTGTCTGGAGGCTGCGATCCCTGTTAGTTGATGCTTTAAAAGATGTGGTCATCACCTGAATCCCCATCTTCTTGGGGATTCAGTTGGAAAGATGGGGGAAAAAAAGTCCAGAAGTATCTGGGGAAACCGAGGTTTTGTGGATTTTTTTTACCATAGATGGAGGGATGATTTCCATATTTTTCCAATATTTTCCGAGGTTTTGTGATGAAAACCAGCAAGCAAAAAGGGAATGAACCATGAAAATTCCTGGTGAACCATCAGGTGACGGACAGACGAAATGAATATAAAGTATGCTATAGTAACCGCACCAGCTCACAAAAAAAGCATGTGTGTTGCAAGGGATCTAAGGTTGGCCAAGCCATGTTTTTGGTGACGGCGCCTGTGAGAGGCCGTGTTTTTATGCTCATTGCATTTGCACCGATGAAATCAATTGCTTCAAAAACCCAATGTTTTTGCACATTCTGATTGAAGTCCATCATGAATCTAGAGAATAAAACACTGTAAGGCTGACCGAGGACATGCGTTTTTGGAACCCCGCGCAGCATTTTCATCACTTTTTTAACTCTTTGCCGGCGCGCCTGAAGTTTCAAGTGCTTTTTTTTCGGCACTCTTCTGCCAAAGCTTGCCACAATGACTTTGTGCATTGTCCCATGAACGTTAACATCCCCCAGCATCACGTAGTTGTATAACTTGAAGAGAACGTGCAGTAGCGTAGCATCACGTAGTTGTATAACTTGAAGAGAACGTGCAGTAGCGTAGCATCACGTAAGTGTGCAAGTCCCATGAACGTTAACATCCCCCACCCCCCCACCCCCCAACGAACCGTAAATGAAGAGACAGGAAAAATGACATACGCGCACGGCCTCTTATAGGCGCCGTCACCATGTTTTTCTTGTTTTCTTCATATCATTCATCCTTTTTAAATATGTCTTTCTCATTGAACATTGGTTTCCTCTGAAGACATACCAATATGTTTTATAAATAAAAACTATCTTTTTTTTTTGTGTAAACTTGATATATTTGCCATGGAACGCTGGATTTTTCTGATATCCAATTTCTTCCTGATTAAAGTCCACTTTGCCCCGGTGAAATCCATTTTTCAATGCTTACATCCATGTTGTTCCTGGGTAATGAGTTTTTTGTTAAATCCCGTGTTTTTCTTGCTAGATCCCAATGCCTTTTGTTGACTGAATGGCTGAATTCTAGTCCTGGTGAGATCCCAATTTCTGATTGTAAATCCACCAGAATCATTCAGCTTCTCCACTTCAGCCCTCTTGCAATCAAACGTGGCAATGACAAATCCGCTATTTTTAATGATTTTAACATATCTTAAGTATTTAAATGAAGGTTTTAGTGGGACAACAAGTGACAACAATGGAAGAAAAACCAGTGGTTTTCCAACTGCTTTGATTTTTTCGGAGGGTAACTGCTGCTAGGCGCAACACACGTGCTGAGCCAAAGTCAGGCCAGATCCAGGCAAACCTGGGGCTGTTGTGTGCGCGTTTTCCTTTTCTTTATCTTAGCATTGGGTCAATGGTTTCAAGTGGGGACTTATATGGTTTTTAATCCTAAAATTGTTGATTTGATCCTAAAATTGTTGATTTGCAGTGGGTCAGTTGTTGTTGTTGCTGTTGTTGTTGTTGTTGTTGTTGATGTTGTTCTTACTTTTCTGGTGTTTAGGTTTCAAGAACTGGGTGTGTTTGAACATTTTAAGGGAAAAACCAGAGTCTTGCAATTCAAATCATATTCCCATTATGGTAAAACGCCCAAAAACGGACATGTGCAAGCCTGGAAACGTGAGGCAAGTGGGTCGTGAAGTTCGGTTCGTGCAGGTTCATCTATGGGCATGGATCAACACTTGTTATGTGTACCATATTTGGGGGATGAACATCAATTACCCTCTGGTAAACGTTTACATCACGAACTGGAAAATCACCATGCTATATATTAATGGGTGAATCAACCAAATTTCGACTGGGCCATGGCTTCAATAGCAAACTGTTGAATTACCGGAGGGTAGCCAGCTATGTTACCCTCTGGTAATTTAACATAGCTATTGAAAATTGCCATAGAAATAGTGGATTTTCCCATTAAAAATGGTGATTTTCCATAGCTATGTTAAATTACCAGAGGGTATGTTGCTGTGTTTTTACCGGCACCAAACTTAGATCCTCTGATGTTGATCCTGGGCAGTGAGCCATGGCAGCCATGGCTACTCCATGTTGGGGTCACCCTACTCATATGGAGGTTTCCTAAAATAAGGATATGTAAGGATACCCCGTTAAAATCATCCATTTTTTTTGCGGCTTTCCCATGGGATTTCCCATTGTAAACCATCCGTTGGTTTTTTCGGTCACCCGATTAGAAACACTCAGGAAAGATCGCGACTAAATCCCACAGCTCAATGGATTGGTTTAAGGGAAAATTTACAGGAAAAGCCCATATTTACTGGGAAAATCTATGGTTTCCGGTTAAGATTTTCCCTTAAACCAATCCATTGAACAGCCAGGAAAGAATGGTCCTAGCTTTGCTGTTCTTAGCCGGTCACATGGTCTGGGCACCCAGGTTTTCGGATCGCGATCCGAGACATCTTCTCCAAAGAACTTATATTTGAGTCCGAAAAAGGGAAGTTTTTTCAGAATTATATAGTTTTGAGAGTCTCAAAATATGGTGCCAGTAGATTTTTTACAATTTTGATGGAGACTTGGCCACTGATTATTTTTCTTAAAGGTACTAGGTGATATCTCTCACGTCACGGGGTCTGCAATTCCTGGCAATTCCTAACATAGATGTGGAAAAAATGCAATGAACATCCACCATTTGCACATCATTTTCCCTAATGTTTTTTTCACATCTCTGGTTTTGTTTCCACGGTGGAAATATGTGGGTCAAAATTAAAGCCCCCCAAAAACCACAGATGTTAGTCTAGTTTAGTATTGACCATCCATTTACTGTGCTCCATTTTGACCCAGTAATATAAACTAGTACGGGTATATATATAAGTATATAATTATATTATATGGGTCAATTCTGGGTCAATACTCAGATGTGAGTCTAGTTTATACATATTCGAGTCCTGACTTTGGACATGTCCTTGACGTCTGCACTGACATCCCCCATGTTTGTTGATCATGAGAAAATACGCTACGCACTGAAAAACACTGCAAATTCAAAAACACGGCAAACAAAGATCAAGAAAAAAGACAGAGGTTTTAGGAAACTTATTTCAACAACATCATACAATGAGAAACTCATTCAACATCCTCTTCACAGCCCCCTAAGACATCAGCTAAATAGCCTGGCTACCGTGGTACCATGGCCGCATTGTCAGATCTAAGGCAGACTACGCTGCTAAGGTGTTCCTCCTTGCTGCTCGGTTTGTTAGATTTTGGCACCAAAATCGGCAGAATGGGATGGTTTCATATCGCAAGCAGGCCCTGGGTCTTTGATGATGATGATGATTATTATTATTATTACCAGTAGTACCGCACAAGGCGGTGGCGGAAGTTTCAGAATAGGAAACCTATAGGAGACGTTGGTTGTTGTGAATCACGGATGGCAGAGCGAATCCACTGATTGACCGAAAGGTGGTTGGAGTTGTGTTTGCTGGAATGGTTGCAATGGTTGCAGTGGTCACCTCACCCACAACTGCTGGACGTAGTGTGATGTACTGCAACTGTAGTTGTAGTTGTAGCGTAGTGGAGTTGTAGTTGCGGTGTAATGTAATTAGTGTAGTGTAGTTGCAGTCATATAGTTGTAGATGTAGTTGTTTTGTAGTTGTAGTTGTTGTTGTAGTTGTAGCTGTAGTTGTTGTGTGGTTGTAGTTGTTGTGTAGTGTAGTAGTAGTAGTAGTAGTAGTTGTTGTTGTTGTTGTTGTTGTTGTTGTTGTTGTTGTTGATGTTGATGTTGTTGTTGTTGTTGTAGTTGTTGTTGTAGTTGTTGTAGTTGTAGTTGTTGTTGTTGTAGTAGTAGTAGTAGTAGTAGTTGTTGTTGTTGTTGTAGCTGTAGTTGTTGTAGTTGAAGTTCTAGTTCTAGTTGTAGTTGTTGTGTAGTTGTAGTTGTAGTTGTAGTTGTTGCTGTTGTTGTTGTTGTCGTTGCTGTTGTTGTAGTAGTTGTTGTAGTTGTAGTTCTAGTTGTAGTTGTCGTGTAGTTGTTGTAGTTGTAGTTGTTGTAGTTGTTGTGGTTGGTGTTGTTGTTGTTGTTGTGGTTGTGGTTGTTGTTGTTGTTGTTATTGTTGTTGTTGCTGCTGTTGTCGTTGAAGTTAGGTTAGTTAAGTTAGTGAAGTTAGTTAAGTTAGTCAAGTTAGTTAAGTTAATCAATGTCTACTTTTTCGACATCTTCACGTGTCAAAAAAGGCTCAAAACCCTTAGTTTTTTACACTTTTGACTTCGAAATGTGCTTCGCGCCACAACGGCGTGCACTTTTTCGACACTTTTTCGACATCTCAACTTCCAAAAGTGGTCCGAGACCGCCAGTTTTTAACACTTTTGACTTGGAAATGTGCTTCGTGCCACAACGGCGTGCACTTTTTCGACATCACAACTTCCAAAAGTGGTCCGGAGCTGAGGTGTTTTGTACATTTTGACTTGGAAATGTGCTTCGCGCCACAACGGCGTGCACTTTTTCGACATCGCAACTTCCAAAAGTCGTCCGACGCTGAGGTGTTTTGTACATTTTGACTTGGAAATGTGCTTCGCACCACAACGGCGTGCACTTTTTCGACATCGCAACTTCCAAAAGTCGTCCGGCGCCGAGGTGCTTTGTACCTTTTGACTTGGAAATGTGCTTCGCGCCACAACGGCGTGCAATTTTTCATCGCTCCTGTGACCAGCTGGCTCCGCACCCGCCGCTTTAGCGAGCCTACTTTTCGACCCTCCTGAGCCACAAATCATTGGAAAAACGCAGTGTTTCGCGACTTTCCTACCTTTTCGCGCATCTGTATCTTCTTTCTTCTGACTCTTTCTCTTCTCATCTTCTCTCTTCTAATCTTCCTCTTCTCTCTGCCTCTCCCCTACTCTGCTTTTCATCTGTCCATATTGTCGGAACTTTGACTTCTAAACTTCCTTCGATAATATAATCATAGTCATCCTTAGTCATATGATTGGACTATATTTATAAGCATTATTATTATGATGTTCGCTTTGTCACAATGCGCTACCCCAACAGTGGCATTGGAGAGGTTTCAGAGTTTCATAGCCAATATCAACCTCAAGAAAGAAATGATCCCGCGATTTTTGTCAAATGGTCGATTTTTCAGCATAGCACAGTACATATAATATTCTTAGAATATACATACATGTACATACATATACCAAACATGTATCCACATGTGCCGTGGTCAAAAGTTGTAATGTCAACTCCGGATTAATAAACCATGGTTTATGAATTAGGGGCTATTCCTCCAATAGTCATGTCATCTAATGCTTTTTTATGATACCCTCCCAATTAAACAACCGTAAACGGGGTTTATTAATCCAGGGTTGACATTGCTGGCAGATTTCACGGCCCATGATGGGATGCCCATGGCCCCACCCTGCCATGGATGCCATGGCCGTGACGTTCGTGGCCGAGGTGAGTTTGTGGCGTGAGGGTTTCAAGGAACATTTCCTGGTTCTCCTTTGTGCTGGGGCACCCGGCAGAACCGCAACGCGAGATGTTATCGATAAAAAAGATCCGTGAAAACGCATTTTATGGATATTGCACATATATCATCGTATAAATATAGAAATTTATGTCATGTACATGATGTACATGTGTATATTTTACATCATATGTATATCCTGGTTGGTGGTTTGGAACATTTTTTCTTTTTCATGATATATGGGATAATCTGTCCCATTGACTAATATTTTTCAAGATGCTTAAAACCACCAACCAGTATATCTATATATACAACATCTTAATTATATATATAATTATATATATATACAAATGGGTCAAACTCAGCCGTGTCGCCGGATCACTGGATCACCGAAACAGCAGGTGCTGTTTCTCAACTCCTTGATTCATTTGAAAAAACGATTGAAAATATGTGCATTCTATACAAACGATATACACTTATATATATATAATGATATTCTATAGTTTCCGAAATTTAGTTTCTAAGCGAGATTTCCAGATATAAATTTTTCCATAAATCGACGGCGTTGCAAGGCACACCTCATGGCGGGCATGCGCAAGGCCTACGAGTTTCAGGTTGGTAGCTGGGTCGGGGTCTCCAGTGATCATGCTTCACACTGGTTGTTTTGATGGTTTATTAATACAGAAACCTGCATCTAATATCTACATACAATATATAATTAATGGTATATATATAAACCTACATAGTACCTTTGGTGTTGGACAACAATAATGATTAATGGTGATTAATGATGGTTAATGATAGTTAATGATGGTGATTAATGGTGATTAATGATGATTTCACTTACTCTCTGGTAGATTAACAGTTTGACCCTGGAAATTACCAATGTTCAGTCGAAACTCATCTTCCAACCGCTATCTGCCAGGGTCTATGTTAATTTACTGATGGGTAAACCTACATCATAATACCAAATGGTACTGTATTGTTTTGATGGTTTATTATTGGGTTTACTATTTGGGTTTACCTTAACTTACCCAATGGTATGTTTGTTATGGTTTAATAGTGGACAATAGTAAGGTGGCCAATATAGTAACTGGATAATAGTAATGTGGTAACCAATACAATGTATTGGATAATAGTATTGGACAATATACCACACAACAGTATTGGACAATAGGAATTGGATAATAGGAGTGTGGCAAACCCAATATCATAAACAACTACCATTGAAGGGAATGATTTATACCATCCATTGATGTATTGAATGTATTGGATATCCCCAGTTTTGAGAATGGTACTGGACAATTTTGGATCATGTTGGATAATAGTATTGGATCATTTTGGATGATAGTATTGTCACTAGCTGCTATCGTTGCGTTAATAATAACACTCATACTGGTATATATATATATACACATTATTAATTATATAGATACGCGTCATCTATATAGTGTTCATTCATAGTTATGATAATAAAATACATCACCTATTTTATTTATTATCATTCTTATAATAAACACGTCACTCTTCACACTTCATCATGGCTTTGTTTTGAGGTGATGAATTTGGCATTTTCCCAATGTGAAATCCACCAGACTTTTTTGGCATCTCCAAGGTGGCGTTGTTCTTCGTGCCCATCATGGGTGTGGCAACGCCGCTCTTGGAGGCGGATACGCACCAACAAACAAAACATGGTGCTGAATTTAATGTAATCATTGAATATATATATATATTATAATATATGAGCCACCGCAAAAACCCCGGCAATACTAAATATGTATTGGACGAACATTGGTTTATGGAAATTGATGGAAATTGTTGAAAACAAACGGTAAGCGATGGGACCTTCCCAAATTAGCGATACCCCTTTTCAAAGTTATGTCATTGTATTTCTCTAATATCGACATTAGTGATACCCAAATTGGACGTTGATGTCTGTGAATTATATATATATATATATTTTTAAAAATGTAGCAGTTTCCTGCAACGATACCCCCCAAGTTTACCATATATCATTATTGTACAAACGTGTGGGACCTTCCCAAATTTGTGGATGTCCTTTCCGTGAACCAAGGGTTTTGGACATTGCTCATATATATAATTGATGATATTGATGTTTCTAGAGATTTTTACTAGTGATTCATGCGATTTAGGCAACCAGCCATGGGGTGTTCCCTCCGAAGAGTCGGGACAGCTGGTCACGGTGTCATAGCTGGTTTCAACAAGGACAGCTGGTGACTTACCATGTGACTTACCATGTGACTTACGATGTGACAAGTTGCATTTATATAAGAAATATATGGAACATGGCTTTTATTTTTCCATATATTGGGAATAATCATCCCAACTGACTTTCATATTTTTCAGAGGGATTGAAACCACCAACCAGATTTGTATATCCACACATTCTGGTCGTAATCATATTGTCCATGAGGGCCCAACATTGCCTCGTTCTTGACCAAATCAATTGGAATTATGTATTCCCAGTTTTGGGAAACACGGGCTTCGTCAAGTGCTACTCTCTCAACACTTGCGCATCCAAATCAAGTAGAACAAGTGGAACTGGGGGCTCAGCACATTTACATTATCTATACGGACGGGTCAGAAGCCCAACAGATGTTCATTGATTTTCCCAGATACCAGCTGGGTCCTGTTGGGAAATTGAGCCGTTTCAACCCTGCGATGTTGGGGATCCAAAGTTGGAACAAAAGGACATTTCACCAGCAAAAAAGAGAGCAGATGAGGATGAATGGACGATTTCAACCGGGATTTCACACACCGATTTTGTGGGGACTTCAACAAGGTTGAAGCTTAAAAGAAAAGGGACCGTAATCCTGTATCACCCGTCTTTATAAAAAATTAGTGAATTGAAATATATTGAAATATCACCATGTTTTTTAAATCCAAATCTTGTGTCAAATCCTCATTCTCACATCGATACGAGTAGATACAATTTGCTTTGATGAAATCCAATTTTTTCTTGGTGGTTCACTGGGGATCCCAATTACAAAACTGAACGGACTCTACTTGCCTAGTGAATGCTGTAACTTGCGTGACCTAACCATACCTAACCCACAAGCACGATTTCTGGGGTGAACCACCAAATAAAATCGGCCGGTTCAAGCTCACTTTTCCGTATGTTATGTTTCCTATGAAAACGGCAATGAATGGGTGGTATATACCACCAACTCTGGTGAACTAACCTACTTCCAAATCCAGTTCTCTTTCTCAATTCTCATGATTTTTGTGTTTCACAAATAAAAAATCATGAATGATTTCTCTTTCTTTAATCATAATTCCACCATATTTTCATATGTTTTCCATATGACTTCAGATAAATCCAGCGGTATTTTTCACGATTTCCACCATTTGACCGACGTTGAGGCCCTGCACTTGGCCGATGCCCTGGCTGCGTGGTGGCGCGGCCAGGAATCGCCCATGGAAATCACACATGATATGGTGATTAATATATATATATTATAAATAGAGTATATATGTTAGTATAGTATATATGTATATAGTATAGTATAGTATATATATATATGTATATAGTATATATGTTAGTGATACGATAGTGATATATAGGTAACAAATATAGTATATACTGGTCGGTGGTTTCAAAGATTTTTTAATTGTCCATAATATATGGGAATAATAATCCCAACTTCCAACTGACTAATATTTTTCAGAGGGGCTGAAACCACCAAGAAGTATATATAGGTGATACATATATGTATATATTATCTATAGTGATTAATGATAATGATATATATATATATACATGATATTGTGTTGATACTATGTTCAGATATATAGTAAACACAACCTATATATATACATATACATATATGCATATAATCATTACTAGATGTTATATAGATTAGGTGGCATGTTATCATTAGTGTTATTAGTGAAATGATTATATTTTTTTGTTATAGCTGTATCACCTATTATCATCATTGGCCGTCATTATCATTGGTATTGCAAGTGTAATGTGTTGTTACTTTTAAATATAATTCGTGTTGTTATTTGTTTCTTTTATACAAAAACAATACAAAGTGACAGCCGCCCCAAAAATCAAGCATGGCACTTTCTGACCATATCAACCTGAGGAATTTCATCAAACCCAGACCCATTTTAGCATCCATGTTAAACTTTCAAGTGTAAGGCTATGATGATGATGATGATGGTGATGATGATGATGATGATGTGATGGTGATGATGATGGTGATGGTGATGGTGATGGTGATGGTGATGGTGATGATGGTGATGATGATGATGGTGGTGATGATGATGGTGGTGATGATGGTGGTGATGATGATGGTGGTGATGATGATGGTGGTGATGATGATGGTGGTGATGATCATTTTTGTATGTTTTCGATGGACTTCACCATTCTCTTCCTGCCATGACCCAAGAGTTCCATGGTGTTTGCTTGGTTTTCGGGTTGAACTCACCAAGTAGGGAGAACTTCACCAGGGATTGGATCATTTGAACCAGTTTTTTTTGTTTACCCAATGTCTTGGGGACTTGGGGATTGGGATCATCATAACCCACTTAATATCACTTAATCCACTATAGGGATTCCCAATATCCAACCCTGACAAGTTATAGAGGATTTTGGGAAATGGGGTTTGACGCTGCCTGATCATTTATACGTCCCATCGACTTGCAAGTTCCACCTCCCTTCTCCTCCAGCGTTTTGCTGTTCCGCTTTGTCTCTTTTTCTTCCGATTTTTGTGGCAATGCTCCTGGGTTTGGTTATTTCATTCCCACTTCAACCAATTTTCATGCTTGAACAATGTATGATAGCACTCAAAGAGATAACACATACTTCATCACTAGGGACATTTCATGGTTCCGCCTGTCAAGGGGTTACTATATACATCTATATACTATGATTGTACTATATATATATATATATATACTGTACATCTACAAATTGCCGATAGATTTGACACATCTGCAGGACCAGGGTCGAAGATTGCCACTGCGAGCTGCTCCCTTAGAGGTTATCCTGGAGGCGATGGTTGATCCGATGAAACAAACGGTGGACCTTGAAGCAGTACTGGTTGGAGGCTAAGCCTTGTCATCAAATGTCTTGAAGCAGATAGGGAAAATCTGGGAAAATACCAATCTGATTGGGAATGGAAGAATATGGAAGAACCATCCCAACTGACGAAGTCATATTTTTCAGAGGGGTAGGGCTCAACCACCAACCAGAGTACAATGGGAACATGGTTAATTACAGTGTCCAAATAGAATCAAATAGAGTTTTGGTGGAATATTTTGCATGTTAATGACACAAAAAAATTACTTTACTTCGTGTGATCCCCACCATGACATTTATACATTTTCTTACTGGCAAATCTTCTGGCATTCTATCTGACATATCTTCTGACAATCTATTTGGCATTCTATCTGGCATATCTTCTGGCATATGTTCTGGCATATCTTCTGGCATATCTTCTGGCATTCTATCTGGCATTCTATAAGGCATTCTATCTGGCATATCTTCTGGCATTCTATCTGACATATCTTCTAGCATTCTATCTGGCATATCTTCTGGCATATATTCTGACATATTTTCTGGCATTCTATCTGGCATCCTATCTGGCATTCTATTTGGCATTCTATCTGGCATATCTATCTGGCATATCTTCTGGCATATTTTCTGGCATTCTATCTGGCAAATCTTTTGGCATTCTATCTGGCATTCTATCTGGCATATCTTCTGGCATATTACCTGGCATTCTATCTGGCATATCTTCTGACATATCTTCTGGCATTCTATCTGGCATTCTATCTGGCATTCTATTTGGCATTCTATCTGGCATATCTTCTGGCATATCTATCTGGCATATCTTCTGGCAGATTTTCTGGCATTCTATCTGGCAAATCTTCTGGCATTCTATCTGGCATTCTATCGGGCATATCTTCTGGCATATGTTCTGGCATATCTTCTGGCAAATCTTCTGGCATTCTATCTGGCATTCTATTTGGCATTCTATCTGGCATATCTTCTGGCATTCTATCTGACATATCTTCTAGCATTCTATCTGGCATTCTATCTGGCATATCTTCTGGCATATATTCTGACATATTTTCTGGCATTCTATCTGGCATCCTATCTGGCATTCTATTTGGCATTCTATCTGGCATATCTTCTGGCAAATCTATCTGGCATATCTTCTGGCATATTTTCTGGCATTCTATCTGGCAAATCTTCTGGCATTCTATCTGGCATTCTATCTGGCATATCTTCTGGCATATTATCTGGCATTCTATCTGGCATATCTTCTGGCATATCTTCTGACATATCTTCTGGCATTCTATCTGGCATTCTATCTGGCATTCTATTCTGGCATATCTTCTGGAATATCTTCTGGCATATCTATCTGGCATATCTTCTGGCATATTTTCTGGCATTCTATCTGGCAAATCTTCCTACATGAGGTCCGGCAGGGAACACTTGGCGTGGATACTCGCGGTTGAGGTCCGGCAGGGAACACTGGGCGCGGATGGTCGTGGTTGAGGTCCGGCAGGGAACACTGGGCGTGGATGGTCGTGGTTGAGGTCCGGCAGGGAACACTGGGCGTGGTTGGTCGTGGTTGAGGTCCGGCAGGGAACACTGGGCGTGGGTGGTCGTGGTTGAGGTCCGGCAGAGAACACTGTGGATCGCGGGTCGCAGTTGAGCAAGGACGATGAGGACGACGAGGACGACGAGGACGACAAGGACGACAAGGATGACAAGGAGGACGAGGAGGAGGACGAGGCAGGAGGAGGCGGAGGAGGAGGAGGAGGAGCAGGAGGAGGAGGAGGAGGAGGCAACTGACATAAAATCTAACAACCCTCACCTGGCAGGTGGGGAAAAACTTAGTTATAGAGTTTTGGTAAACATGAAACAAGCCAGTTTGGACACTGTTTGCACCACAGACTGGTTTATTTGGTTCCTAGTCACTAGTCCATCCGTTTTCTTTGAACCATATTTAACCATGTTTACCAAGATGTGGTGACTCCCCCAGCAGAAAGTAGGATTTTCTCAACGTTTGATCCCTGATCAATGGCACGTTTACTAAACTCTTCGCAACATCTCGGACACGAAAAAATCACATCCAAATGGGGATGCCAGTACACTCAATTTGGACGACCCTCTGGTAAGCTAACATAGCTATGGAAAATACCACATTTATAGTGGATTTTCCCATTAAAAATGGTGATTTTCCATAGTTATGTTAGTTTACCAGAGGGTAACACATGCACAGATTGCTGTTGTTTTTTGGTGGCGGTTAACCCCTCAAGTCTTGTAGCACTGACGTTTTTCTGCGATCATACGGATATGATATGGATCAAGATGGAAGACCCAGGGTACCACGTAAAACGTGGCCGTTTTGGCCAAACTTGGGTGTTCCAAAAAATGGAGATACCCCAAGTCTCCCCAAGGGTTTCCAAGTCTTGGATATCAACTTGATGACTTGGGCTTTCCCATGACTTTCCTTGGGAACCCGAAGAAGAATCCTGGCTCCAGGGTTTGGTCTTCCTCTTGGGAACGCTGCACTTGCGCGTTGCTTTGGCCTTAGGCGCCACAGCGCCACATCTGGGAAATCAACCGATTGAGTACCAGAGGGTATAGCTTTTTGGAAAACGGCCCAATAAATGTTGGATGATTTACCTAACATCTTTGAAACATGATTATTTTATATTATTTTCTATATATCTCAAATTGCCAGAGGGTACAGGACTATTTTAGTGCTTCCCTGGGTCCGACATTTTGACTGCTTTTTGTGACTGACAGAATCTCTATTGAAAAAGCGGAACAATCCACCTAGGGAAATTCTGCAAATTTCCACTGTTTCTCTTTACAGCAGATCCACGAAACGGACATGGGCAATGTCACCCAAATTGGGCAGGTGGACGTAGCTGACGTAGCTGTTGCATGCTGTTGCTGTTGCTGTGCTATGGCATGAGGGTCCCAGGGTGGTGATACAAAGTATGGGCAATCCAGCGATGTTCTCCATGCCTGTTTGTGTCTACACCGCTTGGGACGATGATCTTACGGATGTGTGGATGTTTAAAAAGGTATAAACCTTGGAAAGGGCATGTCACTAAAAATGGCAAAATGATGAAAAATGTATCAATGCTCAGCTCGAAAACGCGTTTTTAAACAACGTAACAAGAACTCCTCAGCTCGGAACGATTCCAATGTGTTCCAAAAAACACATTGTTCAACACACACACACATACACGTTTTTTCCATTATACATACCCTCTGGTTATGTCAAAATAGCTATTGGAAATCACCATTTTTAATGGGACAATCCACTATTAATGTGGTATTTTCAATAGCTATGTTAGTTTACCAGAGGGTAGCTTAAAATCCAGAAATTCTGGGCGCATTTTCCAAACCGCTGGCACCATGGCTTCTGCAGGCCACGAAAGCATCTCCGATCCAGCAGTGCACCTGGAGGATGGTCGGGATTTGAGGGAAGCCAGCGGGAATGAAACACCAAGAAGAATAGGCTGAGAAGGGATTTAAATAGCAATGAAGGATAATGAAGGTGATTTAACTTAAGCCTATTTTGGATGATGTTATACATCGAGTTTCACGCTTTTTTTTGAAATTGGCTGAAACCTGCAACCAACAGCCAGACTGAATTAACAAAACACCGATCCAACTTTGGGAGCATCTTCCTGTAAGATTTTGGGGCTTCATCAGGAGGATTGCACAGGGTCACTGGTCACTGCAAAAAGATGATTGGTACTAAGGGAGATCAGCCAGACATTGCTGAACATTTTGTCCACTTGAGGAACTTCAATAGTTTGCCAGCAGGGGCCTGTTCACTCTTGACCCCCTCAAATCGGATTCTGAAATCCTATAAATGATAAGTGACAACCATTTGTGAGTAGCGAATTACAAGATAGAACTAGACAGGCCGGGATTACATGTCAATGATACTATCACCGATAGTATCAGAAAGTAAAAGCATGTGAGGAATCATGAGCACTATCAGTCCAGAAGTCCAGAATACTCTAGGAATCTCGGATTCTCCGATACTCTGCCCTCTGGTAAACTAACATAATATGGAAAATCACCATCTTTAATAGGTATATCAACTATTTCTATAGGCCACGGCTTCAATAGCGAACTGTAACAGTCATTACCAGGCCGGGTAACGGCTTCATCAAGTCACCAGTAGAATAATCCCATTCAGTTGATGGCTAAATCCCTTAAAGTCACCAGATCAAAATGATAACTGTGAAAAGTCAGCGACTTGATCTCACCAACCTGTGCGTGTCATGGATGTGGCAGCACGAATAGGGTGCGGCATTCCGAAGCATTTCGTGGCTCTTGGTAGGTTGAAAAGATTCGCATTGCATCTTTTGGCATGGCAGCATAGCCCACCATTCGCATTGGTAGCGGAGCCTAAGTGAAGGGCATCCTTTGGGTGGCTTGGTGCGATGAGCAGCATGAGCTTTTATCCAGATGGGCGAGTTTGGCATGAGAATGGTGGGCAATATAGCTATGCAGATTCTAGGCAGAGTCAAGGCTGGGGAAGACATGGACAGCAGCAGCATGAGCAGAGTCACATGGGTGATTCGCTGTGGGGCGGAGCTGAGCCCTCGGTTACTTCCCATGACAGTTCTGACAATAGATCCTGGAAAGGTGATGAACAAGGCGAATGGTTTTGGACGCCGCAGTGCTGGGTATGGGGCAGAGACCTAGATAGTGCGGTACAAGACTATGTGAGGAAGGGCTGGATTTCTCTTGATCGGCATTTTGCCGTTTGGTGGAGTTCAGCCGACCACGGACAGCCCGTGGCATCCCAGAGCAGTAGTGACCAGACAAGAGTAGTTCGAAGTGTTGGTAGTGGAGACGTTCAGACTGATGAGATGAGTGAGCGAAACAGGTCAAGTAGGACCATCAGTGAGAAAGAGAGCAAACCAAACCGTGGCAAAGATTTCATTCCTGTCCATGATGGAACCCTTAGCATGAGGGAGTATGAAAGGCGAGTGCGACTGTTCCAGGCAACATCGGCGATTGACCCCGAGTTCCAGGCCGGCAGATTGGTGGAGAAGCTCCAAGGTGAAGCATGGCAGGCAGTAGAAACTTTGGACATGCGTACTATCCGGGGTGCCGACGGAGTCGAAGTGCTTTTGCGGCATTTGTGGAATGAGTTGGAGCCCTTGGAGTTTCTGGGGGTCATGAACACTCTTTCATTCTTCTTCAAAAGCTTCAAGCGTCCCCGCGGTCAGGAATTTACTTCATATGATACTGCTTTTAGGGCTCAATGCCTTAGGCTGGCAGAAGTGGGTTCCACCTTGAGTGGAGTGACAAAGGCATTTTGGTTCCTTGAGAAAGCCCAGATTTCAGAAGAACTTCGGCGGTCCGTCGTAGCTTCAGCAGGAGGAGTCTATGACTATGAGCGCCTGAGGGGCGCTCTATGCGCCATTGTTCCTCAGATTCGCAAAGAGATCGATGATGGGCAGTCAGGGGATAGGCCAACATCTGGCCGGTGGAATGGTCAGAATGGACGCCAGTACCGTGTCCATGCAGTCTCCAAAGAAGAAGATGACTCTGACTTCGGACAGCCTGAGCCCGAGGGTGAGCAGGCTTCCTCGATGTTGGAGCACGAATGGGAGGATGAAGTCAATGCCATGGAACAAGAAGCTCAAATTTTGATGACTCAAGCTGCCAGGAAGAGGGCCGAGTCTAGCCGCAACAGAGGCTTTGTGAAAAATGAGACGGCCGACCAGCGCAGTAAGCGCATTGATCAGATGAAGCAGAAGATGGCGTGTGCGGCATGCCGCGCCAGAGGAAAGACCGTTTACGGTCACTGGCACGGTGATGATGCGTGTCCTTACAAAAATGCACCCCGTGATCCCAAACCTGTGGATGGAGCAAAGGTAGCCTTTGTGGTGAGCCATGGAGGAGATGAAAGTGAAGATAGTGATGACGTTTACCAGGTCCACTTTATGAATGACAAGTTGCGCCAAAGTCAAGGGCAAGCCGCTGACTCTGACCGAGGCAGCTATGATGCGGATGGCATGGCCCTCTCTGACACTTGCTGTGCCAGAACAGTGTGCGGTTGGCAGTGGATGCAACGACATGCGGAGAAGTTGAACCAGTGTGGGATCCCATATGTTGTGGACATGGACCGCCAACCCTTCAGGTTCGGTGACGGTCCTCGAGTATGGTCCATGTTTGCCTTCGTGTTCCCTGCGTACCTGGATGAGGCCTCTGATCCGGTCTTAGTGAGGGCCAGTGTCGTAGATGAGAACGTTCCGTTGCTCATCAGTGCCAATGTGCTGCGAAGCCTAGGTGCTGTCTTAGACTTAGGTGCCAGCAGGTATGAGTTCAAGGAGATCGGCCGATCGGCTCAGATGATCTCAACGAGCTCCGGTCATATTGGCTTTCGCATTCTCCGGGACAAGGATTTGAACATCTCAGAGGTGATTTCTTGGAACTGGAGTGACTTCCTGGCTCGAGAACATGAAGTCGGATGGGGCAGGCGATCTCAGGACCGACGTGACCAAAACATTCCTGTTGACCAAGGGCCATGTAGTTTTAATGGGAGTGTTGGTCATGACCATGTTGTCCATGAGGGTTCGTCTGTTTCAAAGTTGGATCAAGTGTCGTCGCGGGCAACGGTGGCATCCAGTGACTTACCATCCGAGTGCCATGTCAGCAGCCGCTGTCCGAGCTCCCAAGACCAAGCCGGAGTTTGTGGCAGCTCTTCTACCTCTCACCGATCTCACCGAGGAGGAGTTGTTCGAGCTCAAGATGGAGAAGCTGCGACTGATCCATCAGGCATTGAAGCCGGCCAAGGCTCCTCGAGTTCTGCCAGCAAATTGGAAGAGGTTTGGCAAAGGCCCGTTGATGGAGCTTTATGTCAACCAGGTGGCTCCGTACTACAGCATCGACCTCAAGACGGAGACCGACTACCTGAGTTGGAACAAGGACAGGCTGATTGTGGAATTGGAGTGGTATGCCCAGGACGTCATGGAGAGCGAAGAGCTTGCAGAACTGGAGCCGAAATGTGTGAGGACGCCCCTGTGTCCGTCATGCCAGCTCCCCATGATGAAGAGGGTGAACCGAATGGATGGTGGAGAGTTTTGGGGTTGCAGCAGGTTCCCTCTATGCCGGTCCACCTTGCCTCTCTACTACGGCACCATGGAGGCAGCCGTGGCGCAGAAGGCATTGAAGAAGGACAAGAAGGCCCCAGGGGCTCAGGCCAAGGCTGGAGCAGCCGGCTTCACCAGATCTTCCAAGGCAGTGGAGGGCAACGAGGAGATGGATGGCGACATGACGGTCCGAAAGAGCCGTGCCCCGAAGAGCGATGCCGGTTCGTGGGATCATCTCTCCAGTCAGGTCGGGGACGAGCAACCCATGAAGTTGTCGCCGGCCGAGATGCAGCTCATTCTGGAAGCGCGCAAGGCGGGGGAGAAGAACGACTGAGAGAGGTTTCCACCAGCCCAGATGATCCAATGCATGTCCGTCACCCTCTTAGTGAGGATGAAATTCGATCTCGGATCCGTCATGGCCAGAAACAAAGAAGATTGGCCAACCGAGGTACTTGGAAACGTTTGTTAGGGAACTGCAAACAGCTTGCCGCTTTCGCCTGCCTTCTCACACTTTCAGTTTCTTCCAAGATTGGTGATTGCTGTGAGTTTGTCCATGGCAAATATGGTGACATGCGACCTGACATACTGGAAGTGTTTGGGGGTTCGGCCGAAGTCAGCCTGCAATTCGCCAGACGGGGTTGGAATGTCATTGAACCATGTGATAAGCTCTACGGTAGTGATCTTAGGGATTCCAATGAGAGGGCTAAGTTGGTTGAGTTTGTTGAGAGTAAGAGGCCGAGGTTGTTAGTCGTATCATGGCCATGTACCTACTGGTCGCCGCTGTGCAACATCAACTATCGCACGAATCGAGAGAAACAACAGCTTCGACGACTCAGAGACATGGAGAAGCCGTTCTTAGACCTCACGGAGAAACTCTGCAATGTTCAGTTGAAACATGGTGACGACATTTTAGGAGAGAAACCATTGCCGAGTGCTGCATTTCGGGAACCCCAATTGGAAAGGATTTTAAGTCATCCCAAAATTCATCATGTGGTTGGTCATGGGTGTAGGTACAGCATGCGGCATCCCAAGAATTGTCTCTTGTTGAAGAAGCCAACTTTGTGGTTCAGTTCCAGCCCTGAAATTTGTCATGAGTTGTCCCGAAAATGCCACAACCGGTTCGGCCTTCATGTTCATGATCATGAAAAGTGTGAAGGTTGCCAAACGACCAAACATGCGGCTAAGTATACCCGGGAAATTGCTAAGGCGATTCATGTCGGTTTTGTCAAAACAGTCAAACGAAAAGATCCCAACCGTCTGCAGCGACTGCTTTGGAGTGTGAAGAAGCGACTTGGGCGGACTAAGGACCGAGAGATCTTGACATGGAATACTCACAAGTTAGAACAACTTTTGGGGGATGATCATTTGGTGGGAGCGGTCGAAACTAGACATGTTGACCAAGACATGGAAGGTGATCAGCCCCCTAGCGAAGAAGTGAAAATTCACTTAGCAGGAGAGGGCATGCATTTTGAGGTTCCTGCAGGTAAGCGTCTGGAAGCACCTGTCCGGAGCCTGCTCAAAAAGCTTCATTGCAACTTAGGACATCCGTCAGGAGATGATCTTAAGAGATTCCTCCGTTCCGGGGGGGCTGCCCAGGAACTTCAGGAGGCAGTTGGGTGGTTGAAGTGTGGCAGCTGTGCGAAATCGCAGCGACCGCGATTGCACCGATCAACCCGGTTACCTCCTCATGAGCTCCAGTTCAATGATCAGATCATGATTGATTGTTTTCATGTTAGGGATGCTCAAAGTGATGGTCATTGGTTTTTGTCTATCTTGGATAGGGCCACCATGTATCACCAAGTTGCTTATTTGAAAGCTCATACGGCCGAGAATATGCAGACGGCAGTCATGGAACAATGGGTGGCTTGGGCTGGTACCCCCCTTGAAATTTCTGTTGACATGGAGAGAAGTCTGGTGAGCAGGGAGTTTGTTGACTGTATGGGTCAAGCCGGGGTTGTGGTTATTCCCATTGCTGGTCAGGCCCATTGGCAACACGGAAAAATCGAAAGACACGGAGGCATCCTCAAAGACATGATTGGTAAAGTTGTTCTTGATGCTAAACCTGTTGGGGAAGAACAAATGAGATGGGTTGGTATTGAGGTTACTGGTGCCAAAAACATGTTGGTTAGAGAACATGGCTTCTCACCCTCGCAGCTTCTTTTTGGAAGAGAACCCAAAGCCTTTGGTGAATTGATAGAAAATGGGGAACCGTGTGCGTTGCATTTTTCGGCGGGCGATCGGGAAACCCAAATAGGAAGGAGAATGAAGTATCGAGTGTCTGCTAGAAAGGCTTACGTGAAGGTGCAAGCCAGCGAACTTCTGAATAGGACGGCGAGAAATAAAACCCGACAGTGGCATGAACCGCAGATAGGTGACCGTTGTTTCTTTTTCCGGGAAGTCAAAAAGAAAGGTATCCCAGGCAAGGTTCCTCAATGGTTGGGTCCCGCACTGGTGGTCGGGTTGCAAGGTCAATCAAATCTGTGGGTGGTTTTTGGTGGTCGGTGTTACTTGGTGGCTCAAGAGCATTGTAGAGAGGCTATTGGAGAAGAGGCTTTGTTCGGTAGGCCTGATGTTCAGGAAGCCCTTCAACTGTTCAAAGATCATGAGAATCGAAAAGGTAAAATTTATGATGACTTGACCGGTGAACCTGCTCCTGGTGAGGCTGAACTTGATGCGTTAATGGAAGATCAGTTTGGGGATGAGGAAATGGAAGAACAAAGGGACCCTAATGACTTGACCCAACATGAACACCCCCATTACCCTCGGGTTGAGAGACCACCGGATGAGCTTTTGGGGATGATTGGTAGTAAGGGTTGGAAGAAGACTGTTTTGGGAAACCCCGTCAATGTCGCTTATAAGGCTTATGCTTTTAGGCTCCCAGATCACCATGATAGCATGAGGGATACTTTGTTTAGATCAACTTGGGGTAGATGGCACGGAGAGTGGCGTCGGTTGGAAGATGAGGTTCGGTGGCCAGATCTAGATGACCCTCAACAAGTGATTTTTGGTGGTCCTGCGGATGTTTTGGTTACTCTGTTTCAAGGCAAATCCCGAAAACAACAATGTTTGGATTCGGTTCCCGAATGTATCAAGAAGAAACAAAAGACGCATGGTTTTGGTCCCGGGTTTGATCATGGGGTTCATATGAATCAGATAAGGCGACATGAGGAAAGGTTCATGGATATCTGTGATGTTGATAGAACGGTTTGGGCTACCCTTAGTCAAAGAAAACAGCAAAAGGCTTTAGATAAGGAAATTCCGTTTCATTTGATTCCTCATGACCAAAAGGGTTTGTATCATGAAGCTATTGGAAAAGAATGGGGCTCATGGATGCAGTATGAAGCGGCGGAACCGCTGTCTGTTGAGGAATCCGAGAAAATCAGAAAGGAGAAACCGGAACGTATTCTGAGAAGTCGTTATGTTTTCAGGAACAAAAATGCCGGTTTACTGGATGCCTCTGGAAATCCATTGCCTATAAAGGCAAAGGCAAGGCTGTGTGTTCAAGGACAACACGATCCGGATTGTGCATCTGGTGAAATAAAAGTCGACTCGCCGACTGTGCAGCATACCACGTTGATGTTGTTTTTGCATTGTGTTGTTAGTTTTGGTTGGTTGGACAATTGGAAATCTGGTGACATTTCTTCCGCCTTTTTGCAGGGTAAGAAAAGCGAGGGCGAACCTCTGTTTATGTTTCAACCCAAGCAGGGCATTCCTGGTGTTGATTCTAGGCAAGTTTTCAAACTGAATCGACCGGTTTATGGTAGACCTGATGCGCCGCGAGCTTGGTATGAAAGTCTTTCTGGGTTTATCAAACAACTTGGTTATGAGGTTAGTATTATTGATCCTTCTCTTTTTATTCGTCGAAATATTGATGGTTCTCCTACCAGTTTGATTGTTATCCATGTTGATGATTTGATGATTGCCGGTGAAAATACGCGTGAAAATCATGAACGGGCCGAGAAACTTCGGGAGCAGTTTCCTTTTGGGGAATGGGACGATGTCTCTGAGAAAACGGGTGGCATCACCTACTGCGGAAAGGAAATATCTATCAGAGAGGAAAAAGGAAAGAAGGTGATCAAGCTTAGTCAAAGGGCCTTTGTCGAAGGCAGGTTGGATCTGATTCCCATTGAGAAAAGTAGAAAGGCTAATCCTGAAGCTGAGGTGACCGAAGAAGAAAGAACCGATTTTAGATCTGTTTTAGGTGCTTTGCAGTGGCTTAGTACCCAAACGAGGGGTGACATCGCGTTTTCGACTAACCAACTTCAGAAGCAAGTCAATGCATTGCAGGTCAAGGATTTAGAGGTTGCTAATCAACTGGTCAGAGTGATCAAGAAAAACAATGTTGAACTTACTTTTCAGGACCTAGGTAAGGATTGCGCTGTCGTTTGCTGGCATGATGCGAGTTTGTACAACAGTTTAGGCGTTGAAATTGATGAAGATAATGGTGATTTGCTTCAGTCGTTCAATGACAAAAAGTGGTTGTATAGTCAAAAGGGTTGCATAGCTGGCTTTGTCAGAAAGTGTGACTTGGAGAGGACTGAACCTGTGGAAGCAAACTTCATTGCTTGGAAGTCAAAAACGAACAAGAGGATCATTGAGAGCTCCTTTGCGGCGGAGACACATGGTGCAATTATGGATCATGGCACGGCGCAGCATCTTCGGGCACTGTACTGTGAGATACTTCATGGCAGTTGGGTGCTGCGTACTGGTGACAGTTTTGATTGGTCCGCGCTTATTCATTTAGTCATGTGTACTGATTGTCGTTCGGTGTTTGATTGCATTAAGAAGAATGGTCAGTCTATTGGTGATAAAGGTAATGCCCTGAACGTTGCTGTTTTACGTCAATTGTGTGTTGCTGGCGAAGCACCGTCTGGCGAGAAAGCTGTTCTGTTGTGGGTGCCAACACGGCATCAATGTGCCGATGCTTTAACGAAAGCAGGAAGGCATAGCAATCTCCTAGAAATTTTTGAAGAAGGTAGGGTGACATTCCATGCACCCTCGGCTAGGGCAATGAAACTGCACAGGTTGGAAAGAGAGTTCCCTCAGTGTGAAAAGTCAGCGACTTGATCTCACCAACCTGTGCGTGTCATGGATGTGGCAGCACGAATAGGGTGCGGCATTCCGAAGCATTTCGTGGCTCTTGGTAGGTTGAACAGATTCGCATTGCATCTTTTGGCATGGCAGCATAGCCCACCATTCGCAATAACCATCTATTTGATCTACTGGTGACTTTAATGGTTATCATGGTTAATGATCTATTTTCCAAGTAGATCTATGGCATTTAAAATGGGACTTTCCATGGGATTTAGCATGATTTAGCCATCATTGATGCATCCCAAGCATTTGAACGCGAACGTTAACGACGTTCGCAGGCTTCGTTGTGTTTGGTTCTTTGCACCTCCTTGAGCAGTGTCACAGTGGGCTTGGTCCGACGGCCAAAGTCATGGCTGGAACCAGAGAAAGACATGGGCTTGAAGATGTTTGAAGCATTGACAATACACATAAGATACTATGAACTTATGTATATCTATGATTATATATAATATTGTATGATATTGTTATTAGAAGATTTCAAGGCATTTCGGGGTTTGAAGCTGTTTGAACATGTTCGAAGAGGACATGTTATCTTGTCTCAATGGGACTCGTATTGATTCAAATTCTGTCGTTGGCATCGCAATCCCGACGTGGGGCAAACATCAGACCCTGAACGGGAGATACCGGGAGCGATAATAGATAATAGTCTAGTTGCCGGTTTGGAACATTTTTTATTTTTCCATATATTGTGAATAAAAATCCCAACTGACTTGAAATATTTTTCAAGATGGTTAAAACCACCAACCAGACAGTAGTGATTGGTTCTTGTGGCATCCCTGAACTGTAAGAATCCAACAACTCTAAAGAGATAGCCAGGACTTGAGGGATGTTCAAACATCGAAAAAAACCGGGAGAAAAAGGAACTGGGCAAGTTTTTTTTGGATGCAGGACCGTAGTCCTTCTATCATTTCGCAAATACCCTCTGGTTATTTAATGTAGCCATGGTATAGATGGCCCATAGAAATATAGATGGTTTACCGTTCTTAAAAATGGGTGGATCTTTCCATGGCAAACTGTTAAATAACCAAATGGTACTACAAAGCAACTAACCCACTTTCCTAGTTCAATGTTGCTTCGCTCCACATTTTGATCCATGAAAAATGCTTCGCTCACCATCTTTGCTTGCTTAAATCTCCCATGTTTGGATCGTAGGACAGCCATTTTTCGCTGGTGCCCAGAATCCCCAAACACTCCACAAGGTGCCTCGACTGAGGTCCTGGTGGATAGCGCCTTATCCCTGAAACTGACCCGGGCGCTGCTGGAACGCCCAGCAGTCGACGGGGGGGCAGAGCACCGAAAGCTCGAAGAGACTGTGATCTCTTTGGCGGATTAGGCATGAAAAAACAATTTTCGGAATATTTGACGGGCATTTTCGGACCATTCTTTTTTGAGCATCTAGACTCAGTCTAAATATCCTTATATACCAAGAGTTGGGTTGTCCCCCCCACCAACCAACAGTAGATAGTAATGGATGTAGATAGCACCAGATAGCAAAAGCATGCAAAAGCTATTTTTGGCTGTCAAAATCAAATGTTATCTGATGTCTGATCCTGGTGGTGGCTGGCAACGTGTGGGTTGGGGTATATTTTTCAGAATGAGGGTAAGGACCATATATGCTCGCCAGAAGGATCTGTAAGCATCACATCCCCCTAATAAAACGTGACCATGGAAAATCCTCTACAACTGGAGGAAAAATGTTCGCTGGGAAAGTCATCTCTGATTAAAACCAGCCACGTTGGAGGCTAAGCCTTGTCATCAAATGTCCATGCAGATAGGGAAAATCTGGGAAAATACCAATCTGATTGGTGGTTTGGAACATTTGGATTATTTTTCCATTCAGTTGGGAATAATCATCCCAACTGACGAACTCATATTTTTCAGAGGGGTAGGTATATCACCAACCAGCAATGGATTTTGGGCTCTTCCTCGATAGGTACGGCACCAGTACGCCGCGTACGCGCCGTCGGAACCCAGGAGGAACATATGGAGAAACCCTCCCAATTTCTGGATCCTAAAATGGAGGTACCCACCATATATAAGGCCTATATAAGGCCTATATAAGGGCTATGTAAGGGGATATCCCCCTAAAATATGGCCTTATATGGTACAATACCTCCATTTTAGGATCCTGGAATTCCCATTGATGAAAGTGGTGAAAACCGGAATATGAGGCTTTTGAACGGGAAAACCCAACGGAGTATGATCATATAATCAATATATACACAGATCGATCGGGAAAATGCGGTTTTGTAACCTGGCTTGAAATGATGGAAAACCGGGTACCGTACCCAAGATTTTTGAACAAGATCAGTTGGGAGCACTGTCTGGAATCACGGTACTTGGCGGTGCAGTTGTGGTTGTTTTTTTGGTGTCTAACTTAGTATAACCATGGCAATTAATCAATCACCATAAGTTAGGACATGGGGAAAATCACTCCTTAATTTTTAGAGGTTCTGGAAAATCACTATGGCGGCCATGACATCTATTTGAGTTGCTGTATCTCTCAGCCAGTTGGGTGATGTTTTGTGGAAAACACCAAGCCCTGGATGCCACCGAGGCCTTTGCATCCCCATCTTTGCTGCGCATTTGGCATACCGGGCTTGCGAGGTGACGCAGCATGAGCCGTTGGAGACGCGGAAAGTATGATATAGTTGTGATACAGTACATAATATCATCATGCTATAATCATATATGATACATAACCAGCTATATCATCCTGAACAAACTTTACTACAGAAACAGCATATAACAGAAAAACGCAATTTATAGTCGTCAAGTGCGATTTGCCAGATTTGCCCCAAGTTGAGAAAATAGGATCCTTGTCCAGGGAGCGCCGGTGCCAGGTGGCAGCACAAAGCGCGCTGCTGACTTTTTTGTCGTTCATGCTTTTTCCCCAGCACTTTGCAAAGTGCCCCCTGGTCAGACTCTTCATCCTTACCTGAACCTTGGATGGGGCTGCGACTAACATTGCTTTCAGAGGGTTCACCCAGGAGGTCTGAAGAATAGTTGGATTTTGATGGCATTTTGAATGGATGGATTTGTTGTTGAATCATTTTGCGTTAGACCAACATGTTCCGCACTCAGCAGCCAACAGCCCCTGTAGCCAGCCAGCCCCACACTCAGCCTCCCCTGTACAACAGGTACCTGGCAGCACTTTACTTGCTAAACTGCCTGGTTCTGGTTGGGACTCAAGTTACTCAGGCCCCCCCAGTGGACTGGTATGGACTGGTATCCGAAAGTTGGATTTTTTGGGGAAAGGATTTGAAAGGATGGGAAAAAGGCACCAGGGTGCCATGGAAAGTCTAGGCTAGAAATGGTTTGACTGCAATTGAATGATATCGAATGCACAATTTTTCTTGGTACCAGCTGTGGGCCCACATGGCACCCCAAAACTCCAAACAGTTCCTTTTGATTTTGGTTTGATACATCAAGGTCCATCAAGAGCATCTGAAGATTTCAGTCTTGGATGTTGTTGTGTGAACCTTCCCAAATGATTCCGAATCATTTCGCAACTCAGCTGACAAGTGCTGAAGAGTCTAGTGTTATTTATGGACAATATCTTACTGAATTGGTGGTGTCCAATAGTTGTTTCCCATCCCACAAATTGGGACGATGATCCCCTCCGGTAATCGATGATTTGCCCAGCGAACTAAACCTCCATGGCTAGTTCGGGGATTTCCTATTGACTTTCATACATTTCAGATGGTTATAGCATGATATTGTATACTGGTTTATATAATGGCAATATGTATATATATATATAATTATATACATAGAATGATCTCCCCATCACTTTCCCCTTTCCCATGGTTTTCCTCTGATTTTCCTATGTTTGCCTAGGATTTCCCATATTTTCCCATCACTTTCCAGATCTTTCATCCGTTGCAGGCACCGGTGGTGGGTTCGTCCCTGGTGATTGCCTGGCTGGGAAGCTGAGTGATTTCACCAAAGGAGTGATTTCGCCCGCAAAAAATGGAGACTTCACGGGCAAACATGGGGAGTCAACCATAGTGAAGCATAGTGAAGCATACCCTCTGGTTATGTCAACAGTTTGCTATTGAAAATGGCCCAGTCGAAATAGTTGATTTACCCAGCTAGAACATGGTGATTTCCCATAGTTATGTAAACGTTTACCAGAGGGTATCAAACATGGGGGTATGTCATGATTTGACCCCAATGGCCGACACCAACATTTTTTTGGGGCAACAAATGTGTGAAGAATTTTTGTGGGAAATTCACCGATGGGGATGAGTCAAACATATGTCAACGCCTTGATGTTCACATCTTTTCGAGTCATGAATATCTATGCCAGCAAGCTATTTGGGTGTGACAACCAGGGTTTGATCCGCAGCGAATTGGAAAGCTCACCAGCCAGCCAGCTTACCAACCAATCGGCCAACAAATTGGTCCATTTGTCACAAACTCCAGCACTATAAGTTATATAATAAATTAAGTATCTTAATGACCATTACCCTCACCATGGGCGGTCACGACTTCCGACATCTTTCAATTCTATTTTGATTAGTAGGAAGTGCTAGCTTCACTTAAAGTTTGTCATCTAAAAAAAATCTAAGTTTGAACCAACAGTTGGAGCAATCCTATAGTCAATGGGAATTTCCCCAGAAAATATGGCCAGAAATATGGTACTAACGTACCTCCATTTTAGGATCCTGGAGACCTTCCATTGATATAGAACCATCCAAACAGGCCACGTGCCGCACCGCTGCACCTTTTACCGAGGCCTCTGATGTTTGCCAATCTCCCGCAGTTTGTGGACTCGCCCAAGCCGCCTGCAGAAGTTTATAATGCTTGAAGAAACATGCTGTTTATTAGTACAATATATGTACTGGTTTATAATGGCAATATATATATAATTATATATATAGAGATACATATATTTATAGATATATAGCATTATTCTTCGAGTTTGGAGGGGCAATTTCATTAGTAATTCTCATGTATCATGTATTTTGAATGGCGGGCTCTCGGAAGGAAATGGGCTCCTTTTAGAGGACTTGCTGGTTTTCATGGGTCCCAAGTGTTGCTTCCAAAACGAGTAAATGAAATAAATGAAGGGCCCTCTCACTTGCAAGATCTGTAAGCCTATCTGGGTATGGTTCAATACCAAAAAATACATTTTAGTGGGATGAACATCCATTTACCAGCTATTTTGGGGTTCACTAGGTTCCACGGTTTTGACCCATCCCCATCGAGTCAGTCTACCATTATAGATCCCAGTTCACCTAGTTATAAGCCAACTGACCTATCTTTGCCCCCTCCCTGCAGGAGATTTTCAGTGAAGCGTAGTGGAAGACACGCTTCTGCCCATGTCCCTTTCCTACGGATTGATTAAGGGGTTCCAGCAACCTCCCCTTAACCAATAGGCGAAAGAAGTAAATTGGATATATAAATCGGGTTTGTTCAACCATCTCCTATGTGTAACAACTCCAAAACAGATAGAAAAGTAAAGCCCCACTCAAATAGTGATAACCTGATGCCCTTTTCAACATCCCAAATTGGGGCTTATTTTTTTGTTTTAACGTTTTTTTGTTTATTTCCAGCATTGCCAAGCCTTTTTTCCCATCCCAGTTGCGCCCAACCCAGGCACTATGCTGCTGCCCAAAGTGCCTCCAGTCTCGTGACCGCCGTGCGAGCCATTGAGGACCCGGAAGGGGACGAAGCACCAGTGGGATCTGATGGGGAGATCAACATTTTTTCACTTCAAAGATAGGGATATCAACCATCGTTCGGAGAGGGATTCAAGCATGAAACCTTAGGATTCAACTGATTCAACTATCGATCTAAGCATAGAAACTGATCATAGACTTGTGAGACCTAGACCAGCAAAACGGTGCAGAGCTTAAGCGAGAATTGTGGGATTAGCATGATTAGCATATGCAAAAGTGTTGATCTACCATGCTGCATGAGTAATGGATTGGGTACCTCATTATTGTATCCACAATGATCCACAATGATCCACAAAGTGCAGAGAGCCATTCCAAAATCTTGTGGAAACCTTGGTGTTTACCAAGTAGTGCCCAACAAACATAAATGGACCCTATGGATCCCTATGGATCAGTTGTATTCTGTTGAATTCCCATTAAGATCCCCACAAAAACCAACATCATTTTTTGCTGCTGATCCTCTGGTAATCACGGCAATTGAGAGTTTTATAGATGATGTTCCCATTTCAAGCTCCACTTTTTGTGGGTTTTCCCAAAATTTTCCCATACTTTCCCTAGGATTTGTCCCATTGAAGCCTCCATTTATCGCCATTTTTGCCGGGGATTTCCCAGCCATGTCCCTCCCATTACCGTTGTGGTCCGCATCCGCGCGCCCCGTCAGCTTTCAGCGGCGGTGAGTTTGGTGGCCGCTGGGTGGCTCATGGAGGCTGAGAATGGGGGTTGCTGGGATGATTATAAGTACTAGTAGTATAATATGACTATAAGTAATGGTAGTGATGGTAGTAATGGTAGTTAAGGTAAACCCAAATAGTAAACCCAAATAGTAAACCCAATAATATACGTACTGGTGCTAAACGTAGGGAATGGATGAGTTGCTGGGGGTTGCTGGGATGATTATTGATAGTTAGCCAGTGGATCATTCCCGAAAATTCTCTGCATTTAGCACCAGTAAGAAAAAACAACATCATAGATGTCCTTTTCCCATTGGTTGGTTGATTAATAGAGGGGTTTGAAGAAACCCCTTCAAACAACAGGTTTCTATGATGATAGATGGCATACCAGCTCCCGGCCCCTCGATTTTCACCGAAAGGACATGATTGAAGAACATCGAACATGTGTTTAATGACCAGACTTGATGGAAGCAACATTGTTGTGGGCTTTTTCTGATATCTTCAACAGAAGTAGGGATTTATGAATATTTATGAAGCAAACTAGGGATCTCAGAGAGTTATGATAACTGGCGCTTAAAAGATGTTTGAATCTACAAAGAGTGACTTCAAAAGGGTAGGCACAACACGGTCATTATTTTACTGAAACTTGTGCCTGCTCTCAGTCTTTATGTGTGCCTGGGGGGGCCCCGTTGATTGTAATTACAACACTAACGTCAGGGGATACAATCAAGAAACTGTAAAGATTACCTGGTTGGTGGTTTGGAACATTTGGATTGTTTTCCATATTGGGAATAAGAATCCCAACTGACTTTCAAATTTTTCAGAGGGGTAGGTCAACCACCAACCAGATACAAATGTGGATACTGAATGATACAGATACATAGGTTCGCAAACCCAGGTTTGTTGAATGGAGCCACCAAACAGCGGAAATTCCTGGCGGTCCGCCGGTTTTGGAGATGTTGATATGTTAAGAATTGGAGGATCTTGGCCAAAGATTGAGCACAGCTTTTTTTGTGTCGAGATAAAGCCCTAAGCATGGATACCAGACATGAATCAAGAGTATAATTATAAATTATAAATATGTTTGAATATGCATGTTGCAGTATAATATATGCAGTACATGTTTAGCATGACTTTGGATATCTTCCCTGGTGACCACCAGCATCGTCGTTTGAGTATGGAGCGCGTTGTGCAGGGTGAGCCAGAACCAGTTGGAAGACACCACCATCACCATCACCGCGAAGCTTGGGTGCTGGTGCGGGCACTCAACATGGGAGCCAGAGGGAGCTGGGAGATATCATGAACTACAGTACCCTCTGGTAAACTAACATAACTATGGAAAATCATCATTTTTAATGGGAAAATCCACTATAAATGGTCATTTTCAATAGCTATGTTAAATTACCAGAGGGTACACCATTTGTTCGGGGAGGATTCTCAACCATTGGAGATGAATCCTTGGAATGAAAAATATGAAAAGTGGGAGCCGCTGATTTTTTTGCGATTCCGGGGTGGCAGGTGGTCCAAAGGCCACTACAAAATTTGGGATCATTGTTCATCATCCAGAATGGAGCATTCTGATCTCAACTTGGAATTTCCTGGCGTAAAATCCCATGATGGTATCAAAATCTGCAGTGAATCTGTAAATCGACCATTCCCCAAAATAACAGATGTAATCTTCCAACCCCAAGTCAAGGCAGGGTCTATCCTTTGGTAATTTGTGCCGTAGCCATGGACAACCACCATTTTCAATAGGCAATTTTTGTCGAATGAAAAATCGCCGACGTGACATGATAAGGACTCCCGTGGCATAGAATGGATGACCATCAACCATTAATCCCACGTAAGAATTTTCATTGTCGATGATCAATCCCCATTATCCGTCTTACAATCCCACGTTTGCCCTATGGTTGATGTTTTTTTTTCAGCTCAATCCCATCATCAACAAAGCATTCCAATCCCAATATGGGTCCCAATGATCCATATAAATCCATCATATATACCATATATTATGGATAATAATTCCATATATTTATGGATAATTCAATATATTTCATTATCCCATCATTTGTAATTCCCAATCCCTTTGTACAATCCGACAAATATGGGATATCCATTATAATCCCAAATAAATTTTCATAGATACACATGGTTATTCCATACATATCCTGGTGGTTTCAAACATTTTCTATTTTCCATAATATATGGGAATGATATGGGATAATCCTTCCCATTGACTTTCATATGTTTCAAGATGGTTAAAGCCACCAGTATCCCAATCCCGGATCCCATTGGGAATCCCAACATCCTCCCGTGACGCTACAGGATCCCCCAGTGGCGCATTTGGTGAAAGCCTTGCAGGACTTGCGACAGAGGCGAACGGAGGATTTGAACGGAGAGAATCCGCAAATGGATAAACCATAAATGGGGGATCCCCAAAATGGATGGTTTATAAGGGAAAATCCTACTAACATGATACATCTGGGCAAATTAATGCAAATTATAACGACCTCACGTGGCGAACGAACCCTGGAATCATGGTGAATAAAGGGAAACATCCCAAAATGGCTGCAAGTTTCAGGTTAGTGAATTACTATAATTTGCCCAGAATTAGTCAATGGTAAAAGGATGTAAAATAAGTACCCATTGAGAGAATAATATGTCCATTGATGATCAAAGGATTAGTCATTGAGAGAATCTATTAGTCATTTACCATTGATAGTCAATTAGCCAGATACTTTGACCATCTTTGACCTTTGTCTAATATACCCAGAGACTGTCAACCGTGGTGAGATATGAACTAGTACTTCAATCTTTTGCTATCAATGGTAAAATGTAATGTACTATATATAAAATGTACTATAACATACTATAAAATGTAATGTACTATTCAATGGTCTTTTGCTAGAAAATGTACTATAACATACAACAAAATCATCCGTATATCTGTTCCCTATCCTGGATCCCATCCTTGGTTATCCCAGCTGCGCAGCTGCAATCAACTGCAGGGTTTGGTCTGCTTCGTGGCTTCTTTGCATTCTCGTACACTACATTTGCATGGTCATTAGGCGGGACCTGGTCTTGGGATGTCTTGGGGATCTGCAGTAAATTTTCCGGGAATCCGTTCTCCAAGCAGCAAGAAAATGTGTGTTTTTTTCCGCTAGAGTATACAAGTGCAGGTGCGACCATAGAAGTAGCAAGAAAATGAGTGATTTGCCTAGAGTGGGTGTACAGATATGACCACAGGGTACCATCATTGGACATGGGGCAGTCGCACGGTGGGGCAGTCGCACACCGGGTAAACCCGAACTGGTCATTCCCATGGCTTTGTCCATGGGGGATGAACCGATTACCCAATTTATGGCAGTTTCAAATTGGAACATGCTGACAAACCATGACGAACCATGATAAACCGATTACCCAATTTATGGCAGTTTCAAATTGGAACATGCTGACAAACCATGACGAACCATGATAAACCATGTGATTGGTCAATGGAATACTTTACTATTGGGTTTTCTACATTATAGTTTAGTGTTCAACCTACCCAACTGGGTAAAATTTGATCTGCTGTTCTGCTATTTGGCTGGCTTGATGCAACCATGAAATTGTTGTGGTACAGAAGTTCAGACAAGGCCGTATTTCTGGCTGTGTTGTGGCTGTTTTCAAAGCAGGGTATGAGGATTGATGGACAACCATATACCTGGAATTGCTTATCCCTCATGGTTTGTTTGTAATATCCAGATCCCGTTTGCTTCTCAAATTCAAGGTGTTTGGTTGATTAGTTCGACAGTTGATGGGCACAGCATTTTACCTCATCAAACTGACTGAAACGTCCACAAAAAATTGTCCCATGTTTTCCTCACGGCTCAAACTCATTGAAAATCCACAGCTGAGCCGTGAATAGAGACCCCTATCCCATCCTATTATACTGATCGGCAAATAGGGTTACCGCTGGTTGTATCACCCCCTATACTGTACTTGGCAACCAACCATCATTTGTATCAATTTCCTCTCCATATATTTGATGGTTGAAGCCTAAAACTAGTTAGAAATCCCTTACTGAATGGTGGCTTTAGCCCCTCTTACCCTCCGGTAATCAAACATGGCAATTGAAAATACCATCGAATCCCAGTAAATTCCCATTAATCAATCAACAGTTCTGCGTGATTTCTTGCGAAACATGTCCATCGTTAGGTGGTGTAGCTGCACCACGCCCTCCAACACCCTGGTCGTGACCTGGACGATATGGCTTTGAAAATGGGTAAACAACAACCCCTTAAAACTTCGAAGATCATGGGGAAAATTATGATCATCTACGATTTCTTTAAGTTTGGGTAGGCTATTTTCAGAGAACGGCCCAAATGGGGATTTTCAGAGAAAGGACACATCAAGGTAGACTTGGATGAAGTTCACCAAGAAACACAGGATGAATTCTGTTGAGTTCACTGATTTTGGTCTATCCTAAGTATAATGGTTAAGTCTAGTATATATCCTATATGAGCCATATAAATATAAACGTTAAAGTTCACTAATTCTGTTGAGTTCACTTAAAATACATCCAATTTATGGTCACTTTACCCTCTGGTTATTTAACATAGCCATGGAAAATCACCATTTTTAATAGGTAAACCATCTATAAATGGGCCATTTTCCATGGCTATGTTAAATAACCAGATGGTAAGTAGAATGAGGTTTTTGCCCCATGGAACGGCAGTTGCCCAATTTTTTTTTCAACGCCAGCTGCGATGGGGATCGATCGATGACTCAACGGGGATAGCAACAAAAATGATACAAAAATCACATACAAAATGAAACAAAAATGATAGAAACATCACATAACTCAGATGAATACCAAGAAAAATCAGAAAAGACCAGTTGATATCATGAAAAATGAACGGGCAGTTACTGCATGCCTGTGCCGTTTCGAGGTACCGCTATTGCCACACCGACCAGTAGAGCTTCCCTCTTCAGCTGCTTGGTTTCATGAGAGAAGGATCCGATTCCCATGGTCCAGTGGTGGTTGATGGACAAGACCCGCATTTCTAGCGTTATTTTATTATCATATATACATATATAGTATATAGCATATATATATATATATGTATGTGATTGTATGTATATATCATTTTGGAAACGATGGCGATGTTCTAACTTAGAGTCCGTCGATATATATATATATAGTATATATATGTAATGTATGTATGTATGTATGTATGTATGTATGTATGTATGTATGTATGTATGTATGTATGTATGTATGTATGTATGTTATGTTATGTTATGTTATGTTATGTTATGTTATGTTATGTTATGTATGTATGTATGTATGCATGCATGTATGTATGTATGTATGTATGTATGTATGTGTGTGTGTATGTAATGTATGCATGTAATGCATGTAATGCATGTAATGCATGTAATGTATGTAATGTATGTAATGTATGTAATGTATGTAATGTATGTATGTATGTATGTAATGTAATGTAATGTAATGTAATGTAATGTAATGTAATGTAATGTATGTAATGTAATGTAATGTAATGTTATGTAATGTTATGTAATGTTATGTTATGTTATGTTATGTTATGTTATGTATGTATGTATGTATTAATGTAATGTAATGTAATGTAATGTAATGTAATGTAATGTAATGTAATGTATGTATGTATGTATGTATGTATGTATGTATGTATACATAATTCATCCCATCTGCCCGATAAATAAAAACAATAAAAAACACAAGACTGTGCTCGGGCCTTATGAAGAAATTCAACACTTCCACCAGGTGGCTGGGGTATTTAAGGACGTGAGAAGGGCTTAGTTATACACAAGTGTATCCCCATTATATATCCCATTAAATCATATTAAATCATATTAAATCATATTAAATCATATTAAATCATATTAAATCATATTAAATCATATTAAATCATATTAAATCATATTAAATCATATTAAATCATATTAAATGATATTAAATCATATTAAATCATATTAAATCATGAACAACATGGATTGTGGACCCTTAGTCGCCCCTTTAAAGCCGCATGCGGTGAGTTGTGGCATGTCGTCGGTAACCCAGGGGGCAGCCTCCATTCGCCGTCGGCCCAGCGAGTTGAGTGCCGGTAAGGGGAAGCATCCCCACGCCTCAGTTTTTCAGATTAGTGAATTATATTGGTTGTTAGTTGTGTTAGTTTACCAGGTAAATGATAATAATAATTAATGTTATGTGATAGTTAAGATAGCCAACTCTTATCACTCTGGTAAACTAATATAGCTCTTGAATGGTGATTAATGGTGATTAATGGTGATTAATGATGGTTAATGATGGTGATTAATGATGGTTAATGGTATATATATATATATATAAACCTACATAGTACCTTTGGTGTTGGACAACAATAATGATTAATGGTGATTGATGATGGTTAATGATGGTTAATGATGGTTAATGATGGTGATTAATGGTGATTAATGATGATTTCACTTACCCTCTGGTAAATTAACTTGTAGACCCTGAACATCACCAATTTTTAATGGAAACTCGTCTTCCAACCCCCATCTGCCAGGGTCTATGTTATTTTATCTTGAATATAATGTATTCTAATTTTCCCAGATGCTTTATCATGCTTTATCTATTTTAAGCATCATTTTTATATTGGGATGAATTTCTTATACAACAGATGGTTGATGAATGATTAGTTTGGGGACTTTCTGGGGATTATCATCCGTTAGAGGAATGGCTATTAAGCAACCAGTAAAGGGACGACGCAGGGTATTGAACACTGCTCAATTGAGCCTTCAAAAACACCCAACTGTTGGTCAATGATCCTAGTGAACGTAATTTAACCGCCAACCGTCAAAATGTTCAGATGGGTTTCAATCGCCAAAAATTGAGGATATCAGTATATATTATTATGATATATTATGATTCATGAATTATGTACGTATAACCTCTTCTTTTTGTGGATTGTGAACCAACCCTTTTCATAATACCAATCAACGGAACAGTGGTTCACGGAATGGGACGGAGGTCTGCTTCATGAAAAAAGTGGGGTAATCATATGGGGGTTTCCATAAATGGAGGTACCCCCAGTCATCATCCATTTCAGTAGGATTTTCCCATGGAAATCAACCATCCAGCAAGCTGGGGGTACCCCCATTTATGGAAACCCTGAAACCCCCATATCACCAAAAAAAATGGTTGGTGGTTTCATGTTTGGAGATTTCCAAAGCCAACAAAAACCGGACCGGATGAGACCGGATGATACCGGATGACGATGCCCCACTGCCTGTTTTTGAGGTGTTGACATTGGAAGACATTCATCGGATTTAGGTAAGTACAGATCAGTAATCATGGATAAACATGAATCAATCATAAATCTCAATCATACCGGAAAAAAAGGGGTATAAAAATCGATGATGTTCCTCTTGACATATGGTGTTCGACGAAACGAAAGGAACCCCTCGGTTTTCGCTCCGATCATCGGCCAGGTGGAATGGCGATGCCAGATATAGAGATCATGAGCGACAAGGCACGAGATGCAGCAAACATATCTCAGTCACTGGATGATGATTGGCTAAATCACCAATGATACCCTCTGGTAATGACTAACAGTTTGCTATTGAAGCCATGGCCCAGTCGAAATTGTGGATTTAGCCAGCTAGAAAATGGTGATTTCCCATAGTTATGTGAAAGTTTACCAGAGGGTAACATTAGATAAGCAGTTTCTGCTAATGTTTCCCTCGTCCCAGGTTTCTGAAATCTCTCCGACTGGAACAAAAACTTCTTCAAGGGTGCATCAAAATCAAAATCATTACTTTTAGTGATTCTGACATATTTTGACTGTTTTAGAGTCTCATGTTCTAAACATTGACAATCCCATTGAGGTTCCAGAAAATCCCTGGCTTTTTCGTCAGGACTTCTGGCCACCTGCCTTGGGCCTTTCACAGTTGCTGCTCAGCGCCTTCTGCGAACGAGTCACTGGCAAGCGATGGTTTTGGGGTCATGGGATCAAATCCCAAAGAGATGGATGAGAATTTCATCCCGACCTCACGTCGCGACCGAACCCTGGAATCATGGTGCTTATAAGGGGAATCATCCCCAAATGGCCGCACTATTCAGGTGAGTGAAAATTACAATTTACCCAGAATTATGATTAATAATGGTTATAATTGGGAGTGTCGAAACATGTTGAAACTTTGTTTAGTTCGAAGAAATGGGAATAACATGCGAATTACACCATGCAAAAAGGTTGTGCCTGGGTGAACATCCCAAAGAACAGATGCGAATCGGTGTTCCCAAAGCATGATCCAAGTATCATGATCGAGCCTAGAGCCACCCCACCCGAAACATGAACAGCATATTTTTTGGTTGGTATGATGGTATATGGGTTTTGAATGGTTTTGATAGATATGTAGATATTATAGAATATTATAGATATTATATAGATTTAGATATTATAGGTATGTCCATGTATTTCCCCCAAAAAAACCTGACATTTCCCCAACATTTCCCTATTGGATTTTGCAAAGATCTATGGATTTTAAGGGGAACAAAAAACCGTCGATTTTTTCTAATCCCATCTGATCCCATCCTGTCATGATCTGTCTACCTATCTATCATAGAATTGGATGATGGGAAAATTTACAGGAAACCACTAGATTTGATGGTTAAAACCATATAAAACCATGGTTTCCGGTTAAGATTTTCCCGTGAAACCCAATCCATTGAATCTACCAATCTTTCCAGAGGCACCCCATTTATCGGTTCGACTTCGACCGTGGCCAAGGCACCCTTCGCACTGCCATTCTTCTCCTCCGTCCCCTCTCCGGTCCGAACGCCTGACCGTGAAGGGGTTGACGCTGGGAATGACAGGTCTCCAGGATTTTTTTCTGGTAAACCCAAAGAAAGGGACCATTTAAGGGTACATGAATAACATATGGGAAAATAATCTAAAAGAATCACGTTTAGAACAATTGCCATGTTTCAACAGCAACAAACTTGTCATCAATACCTGTACCACTGCCCACTTTATCCAAAGCCGTGCTGATGTTCAGCTCATGTTGTCATCATTGGGCCCGATTGGAAACTCCCGATCCATGCGTGATGGAATTTGGTCAAGTGGATATGTCAGACATGGTCAAAATGGGCAATGCACAAGTTTGTGTGACAGTAAAGTCTGATTACCATCGTCACCATCGTCACCATCATCACAATCATGATGATGATTATGATGATGATGATGATGATGATTGATCATCATCATCATCATCATCCTCATTCATCATCACCAGCAACATGTCAACATCACAATTATTTTTGGCCATATTTGGGTATAGAATTGTGGTTCCGTTGTTCCTACACCCCTGGTGGTATGGGTGCCCCCTTTGCGTAGTATCGGTCCGCCCAGTCATGGAATCTGTTCCAGTGCGAGAGTATCCATACAATCAGTGTAGTTGTCTGGGAGCTATGTAGCTACAAAATTGATCAAAATTGGCCACCCAGTAAAGTATACAGCTACTCCTGTAGCATATATGTACATATCCTATGATATCCTATGTACGTATATATATATATATGTGTGTGTGTGTGTGTGTGTCGCTAGGGCCGCTAGGGGCCTGACGTGGCTGCACGAAATCAACGGAATCCCATGCTGCAATCTGCAAGGACTGCTGTGTTGTTTAACGGCGGCTTTTGTTTTTCGCAGCCCCTGCGTTTACCCTCTGGTTATGACTAACATAGCCATGGAAAATGGCCCATGTATAGATGATTTTCCCAGCTAGATACCTCCTTTTATAAGGGATTTTCCATGGCGAACTGTTAAATCACCAGATGGTAATTGCATTTTTGCGCTTACCTAAGACGGTGCCAAAATCACCTTTGGAATCATGTCTTAAATATATTCTGCATAATTTGCAGTGTTTTCAGCCGTGAACTAAAACCTTGACAAACCGTAAAACCTTGAAAGAACCCGTAAATCACCCAACCCTAAATAAACCCTAAACTTGTGTCGGCGCCTTGTGCGCTTATCTTAGAAATTTTGAATCTTGAAACAATGCAGCATGTAATTTTTTTCAAAAAATGGATCAAAAAAATGCAAACAAAAAGCAACTGCAGAAAGAACATGCAAAAAAAAGGAAATCAGAAATGCACAAAAAATGCAAATGCAAAAACGCAATGCAAAACACATATAAATCAAAACAAATGCTGTAAGTTCAAAAACGCAAATTGCCGAACATGCTTTTGGACACCCGCTTGATTCACATTTAGGGGAGCGTGCAGGATATGCAGTCTCGGTTGCCTGGTTTTCATGCATTCAGGTTCTTGAATTTGCCTCACATGCAATATGTGCAAGAATGAGTTTCAGTTCGGTTTGGGTTTCTGTCCCTGCATCAACACTTGAATGGGCACATAGATTTTCAGGAAAGGGTTGGTGGTTGGCACAGCCCCCCAGCCTAAGTCCCAAACGCTGCTTTTCGGGAAAGTGGGGGCCCATTTCCCAGGGGATGACCCTACCGAGGACCCATTTGTTTTGCTTTTTCTTTGCATTTGTTTTTTTTTTGCATTCGGATCGGGGACCTTCCCTTTCGACTGGTCACCTGTCCACTTGGCAGGCGTGAGCCTCAACATTGGGCGTTCTTCTTCGGCTTCACGGGTTCACCTCGGACCTCCCTTTTCAAGTTTAATGTTTCCTTTGTCTTTTGCGCAGGTTTTACTACCTTGTCCAGGCTAATTTGTTGTTTCCATCTGTGCTGCATTTGGCACTTTCCCTTTTCCCTGGTTGCATTTCATCTGTCTATATTCTCCACATATCATGTCGCCTCCTTCCAACTTGCATTGGTTCCTTCCATGTATTCTTCATTTGTCAAATGTGCCCCCTTCCAAGTTGCATTTGCTCTTTTTATTTTTCCTCCATTTGCAATTTTTGCCTCTTTTCAACTTGCATTTTGCTTTCCCATTTTTTTGCAATTGTCATGTGTGCCTCTTTCAGATTTGCATTTTCGAATTCCATTCTTTTGCATCGTTTCTCCATTTTTTCGAGATGTAAACATCCTAGAACAAGCGCAATTCGACAGCACAACCCTAAACCAACCTAAATCAACCATAGCTAACCCATGCTAACCCTAAACACCCCTAAATAAGCCCTAAAAACAACCAATAACAACTAAATTGCACCAAACATTAAGTAAACATACCTCAAATAAACCCTGAACCAACCCTGAAAAATCTAAACCAACTTGAAGTAAACCCCAATGTAACTATTGGGCGAACGTCCGGGTATATTTATTATATAGACTCTATATTTTAGATACACACATATTATACATACATGTATAAATGCAGGTAAGTATATCTGTATATCATGTACGGATTAATAAGCCATGGTTTATTAGGGGGTTACTCCTCCAATAGTCATAATCTAATACAAAAAAGTGGTACCTCCATTAAACAGCCGTTTGGGGTTTATTAATCCAGGGTTGACATTACCCTCCAGTAAACTAACATAGCTATGGACAATGGATCATATATATTCATTTATAGATGATGTGTACCTATTAAAATGGTGATTTTCCATAGTTTTTTGTATGTTTCATATCCATGTCCATAGTTTTTTGAATGTTCATATCCATTTCCGAATTTCCATAGCTTTTTGAATGTTTCATATCCATTTCCATCGTTTTTTGAATGTTTCATATCCATTTTCATGTTCAATGGTGATTTTTCCATGGTGACCTTCCTATTCAAATGAGGCCTTTTCCATCCATTCTCTGCCTCAGGCGATGCAGTCCTCCGCCAGGCAAACTCCGCGGCCTCCACGCCTTGAGGCGAGAGATGAAGGTGAAGTAGTTGAACTAAGATCTGTTCTTAGTTATAATATGATACTGTAATATTACATATAGTCATCATATAGTCAACTAAGTATTATTATAGTAGTTGAACTAAGTATTATGAATAATTATTAGAACTGTTCTTAGTTATAATTTAATATTATAATATATAATATGACTAAGTATTATGATAATATTACATATAGTCAAAATATTATGATAAGAGTTAAAATCTGTAGTCATAACATCTGTAGTTGAACTAAGATCTGACTAGGAACCAGATGTTATGATGTCAAAATAGATCACACAATATAGTCAACATGAATACAATCTTAAATATAGTCAAATATAAATAATGATCACAAAATAGCTATGAATTATGATAATATTACATATAGTCAAAATAGATCACAGAGTTAGATGGCATGCCCCAGTTATATATGGCTTATAGATTATATAAACTGGTTGGTGGTTGACGTACCCCTCTAAAAAATATGAGTTTGTCAGTTGGGATATATTGCTGCAGAGTCAGTGTCATCGGATGCAGCCTTCAGTAAAATGGGAAAACACAATGGAAAAAAACCACTGAATATAAGTAAATCTGGTTGGTGGCTTGGAACATTTGGATTATTTTTCCATATATTGGGACGAATCATCCCAACTGACTTTCATATTTTTCAGAGGGGCTCAAACCACCAACCAGATATAGTCTGATATAGTAGTATGTATAATATGACTATAAGTAATGGTAGTAATGGTAGTAATGGTAGTAATGGTAGCAATGTTACTTAAGGTAAACCCAAATAGTAAACCCAATGATATACTTACTGGTGCTGAGTAGGGAATAGATGGGAATGGGGGAATGGGAATATTATTGATAGTTATTATGGACTACTATGTCTATACTATACCCTCTGGCAAATTAAGATAGACCCTGGTAGATAGAGGTTGGAAGATTAGTGAAACCACTCAACATGGGTTATTTTCAGGGTCAAAACTGTTAATTTACCAGAGGGTATAATATAGATATAGTAGTATAATCTGACTTATAGTAGTAATATGACTAAAAGTTCTTAGTTCTTAGTAGTAATATGACTATAAGTAGTCATATATAGGTATAATATAAGTATAATAAATAGTATATAGTAGTACTATAACTATGAGAATTAGTTAATATTAGTTGTACCATATATGTAACTGGTAGTCACCTATTAATCACACTAATACTAAGCAGTCTCCCACACACCATTGCTTCATAGACGAAGGCAAAAACATATAAACACATATTTGGGACCAAACAAGAGGTGTGTTTAATTTTTGGGGATGGGATTATGATATATTATATTGTGTACCACGATGGTTCAAACTAATATTTTCCAATCAAACGACCGTTTTATCAGTATTTTCAATATTCAACACACATACACACATGTGTCATGGTCAAAAACATGGGTAAGTTGCCCAACTTTTGGAGGGGATTCACATACCCATTTTGTTTGGATTCCCATAATGGAATGGATGACCATAGCCAATATACACTTTTTTGATCTTTTTTTGACAATTTCGCACATGTGTTGCTGTTAGTACCGAAAAACCAGTATCGTTGTTATGTTGTTTATTGCTAGTGTTTGTCGTCGTCATTGTTTTTGCTATTGTTGCTGTTATAATTGTCATTAGTCTTCGTCATTGTGATGACTGTCGTCATTATAGTTGTGATGATGATTCACATGTTTGGGCAACATGAGTATGCAACAACCGTGGCAGATTCTGTATTTCCACAAGGAGTGCACAATGCCAACAACCACGACATTTTTGGTAAAACAAAATGAGTATATGCATACAAATGTATAGAAATGTAGATTTGTTTAAAGGCTCGTTCCAAGCGAGCGTAACTCCGTGTGTCACAACTGTTTGTTGGCAGGCTGGTGGTGTCCACTCTGTAAAGGATCTGATTACATTCGACGAGATTTTCCAACGCCCGCAGGGCTGTTACAAATACCCTCTGAGTATTTTATAGATGGCCAATAGAAATAGATGATTTTTACCAGCGAACGAAACCTCCATTTAGGGATTTTCCATGGCGAACTGTGAATGTCATAACCAGATGGTAGTCCCTCTACTGATCAGCTCCCCATGTTTCCTCTGGAGGACTTTGATACTATCGGCCTCATTGGCTATGGCGAGTTTGGGAAGGTCTTTCAGGTCGGCAGCCATGCTATGCTGGGCAGTGGGAGCAATGAACGAACGCCAGATGCTACCATTGGAATTACAGTAGCAACATATTAACGAAAGTCACAGAAAAAACCCTGAAGACCCAGGCCTTCACAACTAAAACGGGTGCTATTCATATCATTGTCATATCTGCAAATCACGGCCAGATATTCCCCGAACTTCCCATTCTTGGCAGGTTAGAGATCGGGCGTCACAACAGGCGTGAACGACCCGAGCACTTCCCCGGGAGGTGTCCCTCTTTTCGGCTGCATCAAGTTGCCCATGGGCAAGGACCTAAGGATATCTAAGGATGCCAAGCCGGGTACCAACCCATGTCTAATCCATGTCTATTATGTTACATATGGCTATGGATCAATACCTATTTTTATACCATTTTTAATGGGATGAACATCCATAAATCCCAGCTATTTTGATGTGAACAAAAAAGGGGTACTATTGGTTTTGACACACTGCCATATGTTGATTTGAACTGGAGAATACTCCGATAAATGACACTGTCCTGCTGGCATCCAAACTATCGGAACCCCAGTGACTTTGACCCCTTCTGGTATACTTTCAATAGGAACATGATCTAGATAATGAGGGATTTGTCTGGAGCAGCTTATTTGGAGGATCATCCCACTTAGTAGCGGGTTATCCCATGTAGAACTGGGGAACTAACCCCGGAATCTATGTTGATCCTCCGGTATTCAAACATAGGGAAAATCCCCTCTTTATAGACTATCTGACTATATGAATCTAGTGATTAGAAGGGAGTGGTTCAGAGCTATGCGCATCCAGAGTTTCCCTTTAGATGGAGAGCTAGCAGCTAGTTGTCCTCTTCCGACCTCCATTTCGTGGGATTTCCCTGCTAGCCATGTTTGATCAGGGTATAGGAAAACCAATATTGCATAAACATATCCCATTGTATCCCTATTACATGCCCAATATACCACCATTTAGTAGTTAAACTAAGAACGTGGGGAAACCAATGCGATAAACCTACCGGCAGACCATGGTAGACATAGCACCCATAAATTGGTGGATCCCAAGGTTTGCCTCCAACCATTCCTTGACCGGCAGACCTTTGCGGTGAAGAGCCTGTCCAAAGAATTCTATGCGCGGAAACAGATGACGGATAAGGCTGTGCGGGGAAGATGGGACTTGTTCAAGGTGGGAAATTCATCCCTGAAGTGGCCAAGAGATGAACAGATGATGATATAAAGGAGCTAAGTTGGGGGGTACAATAGTTTCAGACAAAGCCATATCCTATTCCTACTGGTTGATGACTAATAGAGGGGTTATATAATTCTGTTTTACAGCAAATAGGTAAGTGAAGTGATTATAACTGGTATACCAAAGAGGTCCGTCCATTCCAAAAGGACTTCGATGGGTGGACCCCTCCAAAAAGTAATTGTGGTGACTTCCAGGTAAGGTTTTAGGGGTATACAGTATACATCACTATACACTTGGGTAAATGTTGGTTTTCACGAGCCAAATGAACTGTGCGGGGTGGGGGCGGTTCCATGCGCTTCCAAGCGCCTAAGAATATGGCCACCAGTTGTCCAGCGGGACGAATTTTCAGAATTTTTACCCAGTAGAAATCGTACCATCCGCAAACAAATACAATAAATGATCAAAGCACATCCAAGTACATCAACATCTTGAAGCCGTGGAATATTTTACTTCAGGACAATTCTACATCTACGCATATGTATATGTAATTATGTATATATATATACAGTACACACGGTCCAAGTATACTGTGAAAGTCATGTGTCACAATATTTCTGTATACATTATAGTCTTTATTTGCTTTAACATGCGTATATAAGTACATAGATACATCTTGAAATTTGTTGGGATACATATATTGCAATATCTACATATGAATGTCATTGTCTATACCGTAATTACAGTATATACATACGTACACTATACAGTATGCATAGGTTATAGATTATATGTGATTTTATGATATCTGATATGATTCAAACAGCAGGTTCCCCCAGAGCCTCATTGCCAGGCGAGGAGAGAAATTTCGACCTTGAACTTGGCGCAGGATCGGGGCAGCCTCTGCCAGGTGGTTGGGGTGAGAAGGCCATGAAAGTCATAGATGGGCCAAAAAATCATCCCACATCATCCCACAGAAATTCCCAGATTCCAGATTCCAGATCTGATTCTGAATTCCAGGCTGGTTTACGTCTAAGGCGCTCGCAACCGTATCTTGTGACTTTTTTCGAAATGAGGGCATCGGATGAGGAAAAGGGGATGGACCTATATGTCTATACATTATGCATTTACATAAATAGATATCAATATATTCATATAGTATATAGTCATTTATATATATATATGTGTATCATATATGTATATATATATATGTGTATACATATCATGCATATATATATATAGTATATCATATATATAGTATATCATATATATAGTATATCATATATATAGTATATCATATATATAGTATATCATATATATAGTATATCATATACATAGTATATCACATATATATATATAGTATATAGATATAATCATATAGTATATAATCATTTACATGCATATATATATATAGTATATCATATATATAGTATATCATATATATATAGTATATCATATATATAGTATATCATATATATATAGTATATCATATATATAGTATATCATATACATAGTATATCACATATATATATATATATAGTATATAGATATAATCATATAGTATATAATCATTTACATGCATATATATAGTATATCATATATATATAGTATATCATATATATAGTATATCATATATATATATATAGTATATCATATATATAGTATATCATATATATATATATAGTATATCATATATATAGTATATCATATACATAGTATATCACATATATATAGTATATAGATATAATCATATAGTATATAATCATTTACATGCATATATATATAGTATATCATATATATAGTATATCATATATATATAGTATATCATATATATAGTATATCATATATATATAGTATATCATATATATAGTATATCATATACATAGTATATCACATATATATAGTATATAGATATAATCATATAGTATATAATCATTTACATGCATATATATATAGTATATCATATATATAGTATATCATATATATATAGTATATCATATATATAGTATATCATATACATAGTATATCACATATATATAGTATATAGATATAATCATATAGTATATAATCATTTACATGCATATATATATAGTATATCATATATATAGTATATCATATATATATAGTATATCATATATATAGTATATCATATATATATAGTATATCATATATATAGTATATCATATACATAGTATATCACATATATATAGTATATAGATATAATCATATAGTATATAATCATTTACATGCATATATATATAGTATATCATATATATAGTATATCATATATATATATAGTATATCATATATATAGTATATCATATATATATAGTATATCATATATATAGTATATCATATACATAGTATATCACACACATATATAATATAGATATAATCATATAGTATATAGTCATTTACATGCATATATATATATGCACATCTCCAGCATTATAATATCGGTGTCACCACTGGGCAGGAGCACCCCTTCATCGTCCGATTGGTCCATGCGCTGGAGACCGCCAATGAGGCCGTTTATTATTTTTTTTATTTTTTTTGTGCCTATTTATGTTTTTTTATTTTTTTTTTGTGCCTTTTCATGTGTCATTTTTTTTGTGTTTTTTTTTTGTGCCTTTTCATGTGTCATTTTGTGCTTGCAGCAGTTGTTCATGATGAGCAACGTTTGCATGCATGTTTGTGCAGCCGTTTCGTGTGGCCAAGCCCTGAAGAGTTCCTAGAACGAAAGCTTGGATTGTTCATGGCCACGCAGAGATAAAAGGCTGCTTCTTTCGATTGGTCGTTGGCTTGAGCATTTTCATTCCCGTTGTGCAGCTTTCACCGTCATGGTATTATGGTATGTTAATGGGATTTACCGTCTGGTTATGTCAAAATAGCTATTGAAAATGGCCCAGTCGAAATAGTGAGTTTTCCCATTAAGAATGGTGATTTTCCATAGCTACGTTAAATTACCAGAGGGTATGATTATGGGATGTTAATGGGATTTAATGGGAATGAATGGGATCTAGTGGGATTTTAATGGCATTTCATGGGCATTTGATGGTTAAATCCCATGAAAGTCCCATTTAAAATCCCACAGTGAATGCTTTATCATTATGATTTACTGGTGACTTTAAAGGATTTGATTTAACCACCAACTTAATGGGATTATTCATGGGATTTTTCGTGGGACTTGATGATAGTTACCCTTCTGGTATTTCTTTGCATAGCTTTTCAAGCCGTGGCCGTAGAAATAGTTGATTTACCCACTAAAACTGGTGATTTTCCACACCTATGTTAGTTTACCAGAAGGTAAGGTGGATATTTTGTTGATGTTATGGACCTATGGATGAAGATGAAGACTTACAACACATATGACTGGATGGACTTTCATTTGATGACTTGGATTACATGATGTCATCATTATTCAACCTCAACCAACTGGATGTCTAGTGGAATATCCTGGATGGTTTTTTGCCATGGAAAAGTAACCAAAACCAGCAAAAGATTAATTTTTTCTGGACTAACACGGATTGTATTGATTACTTGGGGGTGCATCCCAGATAGAAACTGGTTTATAGCCCATACATAGTCCAGATAACTGGTGATATTTTAATAAAACTTGCATATACTAAGTTACTAGGGTTATTACCCACTTAGTAAGTGCGATGCACATCCAAGTATGGATGATGATTCATGAATTTTGATAATATGAGTGTTATGGGTGATTCTTACTTGTTATTGACTACTGATTATTGGTTATTGATTCTTTATTATTCATTATGGATGCTGTTTATCTCTAATAATTGTGTTTATGGTTTTTTTAAATAATGATTTTGGATGATTATCACTAAATGATTACGGGTGATGATGGTTATGTTGTATGTTTTTCCACATGTTATGATGATGATTATTATTATTACGTTAGTTGATGATTCTTGAAGAATTTGATAGTATTAGTGCTTATCACTACTGTAATAATATTAATATAAATCATGAAATCTAATTCTATCCGTGAATGGGAGCTGTTGAGAGCGAGGGGTCAAAAAAAAATCCCAGCCACACGATAGAAGTGAAGTAATAAATAAATAGTCTTGAATAGTAATCTATATTTTTCTGCACAAATTATAGCGAGGACAAACGAGGCAACGAGGTGGGTAAGTCAGATTTAACGAGGTAAAACTTAATTTGGTTCTGTGACTTAGCCAACTCGACGAGGTAGCCTTGTATTGGTTTGTTGCATGTTTGGACTGGGTTTGAAAAACTTCTGGGGAGCCACAAAGTTTGATTTTCCGTCACTAGAGGTCCAACTCCACAAAAGGAAGGAAAGAAACTTTTGCGGTGTAGGAAAGTTTTTTGAATGCGTTCTACCCGAGCTTGCTTTGCTTTCATCACTGTGAGCATGAAAGAGCTGCAAAGAAAACTATTAAAAAAATCATTGTACGAGAAGTTTTTTTGGGGTCAAACTGTCGAACTTCCTCTTGTTTTAGTCACCATGACGCTCAAAGTGCTGGTGACCAGTCCTACCCTTGAGGCAAGCCCGATGCCCAAACTAAACTTTTCAGTGGCGAAAGAGTTTTTTGTTCGCTTGGCTTGGGCTACCCCACAACCTTAAACTTTAAACCCCTACTCAGAAATGATGAGGGGAAGTCTTCTGTATTGAACATGGGAACTAGCGAGGCGTCCCGTTGTCACACGAGGTAACCCCAAAATAAACTTTTAAGAGGGGGAATAGTTTTTCAGTCGCTTGGTTTGGGCCCCACCACAACCTGAAACCTTCATTCCTTATTGAGAAATAACGAGGACAAGCCTTATTTCCATCATGCGAATTAGCGATGCGAGGCGTTAAAACTGGGGAACGAAATAGCACACGAGGGAGACGAGGTAAGAAATAAAGTAATTTTGGCAGATTTTTTCAATCAGAGATATGAAACTTCACAATACTTATAGCTGCCCTTCAACCAGTATCAATCGAGTATTACCCGTCATGTTTTTGATGCTTTGGACCACACATAGTCTGACTGCATGTTTGGCTAATCACCAATACGGCGAGTATTCCAAATATATCTATACATATGAATGATGTATGTATACAACCACGCATAAATCCATATAAACATAGGCATAGCATTGATGTTCATATATTCATGGTATATAATCCTGTACAAATTTGATGGATTACAGTACATATTCATGAGTATGTGTTTGTTTTTGCAAAAAACGATAGTAATAAAATTTATTGTTCTTCAAATTATCATCACAATATCACCTATAATCCATTATCATATATAATTAATTATGATGATTATAAACATCATATCGTCATCATACCATCATATGTATTATGTAATATTTAATTGTAATGTGGTTAAAACAATGTCATACACCATCCATGACTGGGAATGGTAAGTTTATACCACCCATAAAAATGGTGATGACTGGGAGATGGTGCTAAAATGGCAGCCTGTTTTAATCACATCAATAGTCTCAGATGATCATTTGAACAGCTCTCAATCCGGAGCCTGGCCACCTTGCCAGTGGGCGATGATCATGGAGTACTGCCCGGGCGGCGACCTTCAACAAGTGCTCTTGCTGGGGCTGCCCAGGGGTGACCTTATGGGATCTGAATGGAACTGCTGGGTGACCGAAATGATGATGGGACTGGATTTTTTTGGAATCCCAAAAAATGGCTGTAGAATAAGAGCTAGGCTTCTAGGTCAGTAAATTGTTATGATTTAGCACGATTTATGGTGATATTGGGGATGGTTTAGGGTTTTGGGTTTACCAGATTTGTCCAATTCTTGTTCCTTGGTCTAAAATGGTCTAAATATGTAAAAACTCCTGCAGTAAAACCATGTATTGTATATATCATCGATCTGCCCGATAGCGTTGGTTCAAAAGAGCTGAGTGCTTAACGGTGTTAGCTTTGTATTTCACCCCATTGTCGGTTGACCTGGTAAAATACAGGTTATCAGCCGTAGTCTCACTACTTTGCTATGGGGACCCCAATTGACCATCCTCTCGCCGTTCCAGGGTCAGGTCCATCGGCTGTCGCTGTGCCTAATATGGCCGGGGGCAACCCCGAGCCGATGGATGACGAAACAATGTTCCAACCCGTTGTTGCGTACTTTACCTTCATACAAAACAACCTGTCCCAGATTACTAGTGGGAATACCCTGCAAGTCATGAGGGAAGCTGAACAGAGGCACCTTCAGATAATGCATGGAGTAGTTGACTCAATTCGAAACGAATGGTCAAGTAGACTCGTAATGCAGGAGCAGGAGTATGAGCAAAGGCTGCAGGAGGTTGAAGGTAATGCCATTAGTGCCCTCAACGAGGAGAGGAAACGAGGCGACGAGATGGAGGTCAGGTTGAATCAGGCTCAGGCATCGCATGACAAAAGAATAGAGGATGTAAAGGCAGAGGCAAACACAAAGCATGATCAGAAAATTGCAGAGGAAAGAAAACGTATCACTAGTGAATTCGAAGCTTCCTATGCACAGACAGTTGAACATGCAAAGAATGCCATAGCTGCCACAAAGAAGCAATATGAAGATCAGGCTGCAATTGATCAGGCCAGGTTCATCAGTTTGAGGACTGAGTTTGAGAACTACAAGAAGGAGATGGCCGACAAGATCAACGAGGCAGCGGCTCAGAACCTTAGCCTTCAGGACCAAATCGATGACCTTCAGGAGCAGTTAAAGCATGTTGCCAAAGCGCAGCATGCCTCCGTTCCGAAAGCATCCGTCCAGAACGCCGAGCCGGCCGCTACCACTAGCGTGCCCCACTTCAATATTGCCACTCCCAAAGCATCCGATGCACAGGCTGCCAGAGGCAGTGATGAGCCGATTCTTGAGTTTAAGACGCCTGCAGTGTTGGCGCAGGAAGCAAAGGCCAAGTTGGATGAGCTGCTCAAAGGTGGCAGTCCCAAGCAAAAGCCGGCTGTCGGCAACGACCAGCCCCAATTGCCAACGCAGTCAGGGTTTTTCACTCCCACTGAAGCTATCAAAACTCCCCCAAATGAATCTCCTAAGAGCGCAACCAAGCAACAGCAAGTAATGGGTCCCTCAGATCTTATTGAATTGGTGAAAGCCTTAACCCAAAGGGAAGAAAAGGATAAGCCAAAAACTAAGGAGGCTGAACTCATCAAGCTGAACAACATGCCCGCTCCGGAGTCATATAGAACTTGGAAGAATCATGTCAGGGATGAAGTGAAAAGCTGTTCAGATCGCCCGGATGAGGCGTGGCTCTGGCTCAACGAGGTGTACGATCAAGAGTGCACCAGAGAGCAGTTGGAGAAGAAACTCCAAGATCCTGGAAAGTTCCTTACGCTGGATACAAAGTTATCAGCAGCGCTCACGCGCTCAGCCGGAGGGGACCTCGCAACTAGGATCTTGAATTTCAAGGAGCAGCAATCCCGAAAAGGCATCCAGGTCAGGGGAAGATATGTTCTGCTTATGTTTGAGGACTACTTCAAGACATCACAAGAAGCAGGTAGCCTTTACAGAGTAGAAGATCTTTTGGGTGTTGTCA